CACATACATGCAGACACACAGACACACACATAACACACATACAAACACACACATATATACACAGAAACACATACACACATACATAGACACACACATACATACACACAAACACATCCACACACGTACATACACACATACATACAGACACGCAGACATACACATAAACACATAAAAAAAACCCACATACATACACACACACATACATACACACAAACACATACACACACATACATACACACATACATACAGACACACAGACATACACATAAACACATACACACATACACATGACCCGGCTTTGCCCGGGACTTGGATCCACCACGCCCGGCCGCCTTTGTCTCCCCAGTGCCGATGTTAATACGCCACACCAGTTACTCGTTTGAGGCTGAGTCGACCTAGGGGAGGTTCAAATAATCGTCACCGGTGGTGGCCGTGAGCGGGAATCGAACTCGGTTCGCCGGGTTGGTAGCGCAGCGTAGCGTTAACCACTACACCCACCGCTCCTCACACACCACACACGCACAGACACACACACAGACACACACACAGACACACACGCAGACACACACGCAGACACACGCAGACACACACAGACAGACACAGACAGACACACACACACACAGACACACAGACAGCACGCTAAGCACTACACTACCGCTCCCCACACACCACACACGCACACACACAGACACACACACAGACACACACACACAGACACACACACACAGACAGCACGCTAAGCACTACACTACCGTTCCCCCTACACAACACACGCGCGCGCGTCCATAGGTACACATACACGCGCTTGCTGCAGACACACACGACTTTCAGGGTGCGTACGGCAGTAAACGACTGCAATAATAAAGCGGCAATGCTGCGCGAGGAATGCCTTAGACCTGCAACACATTTGTGTAATGCGAGCGTAAACACACAAACACATACACACACATACACACACATACATACACACAGACATACACATACACACAAACACACACATACATACACACAAACACATACACAATACACACACACAATACACACACACATACATGCAGACACACAGACACACACATAACACACATACATACACACACATACATACACAGAAACACATACACACACATACATAGACACACACATACATACACACAAACACGTACACACACGTACATAGACACATACATACAGACACACAGACATACACATAAACACATACAAAATAACCCACATACATACACACACATACATACACACAAACACATACACACACATACATACACACATACATACAGACACACAGACATACACATAAACACATACACACATAGACATGACCCGGCTTTGCCCGGGACTTGGATCCACCACGCCTGGCCGCCTTTGTCTCCCCAGTGGCGATGTTAATACGCCACACCAGTTACTCGTTTTGAGGCTGAGTCCCTCCCTCGCCACTCTCCCTCCCTCGCCACTCTCCGTCCCTCACCACTCTGTAGAGGACGTGAAACTTTTATGAATTTATCTCAGAGTGGCGTGGTGGGTGTCGAGGCCTAGCAGCGTGCAGAGCCTCCCGCCTCGCCTGATTTTCCCACCCGGCTGACGCTGGGTACGGGTGCCGGTCCCCCCCCCCCCCCCGCGCTACAATAATACTGTGTAATCACTATAATTTAATAATCGACCGACCCTATAATAGTAATAGCACACATTGTGGTGGGGGGGGAGTGAAGAGGACGTGAAACTTAGATGAATTTACCTCAGAGTCACGTGTTAATGCGTGCGCCTATTTTTAACGGGAATTAAAAATGGCGTCCACTCCGCGCCGAAGGCGTCGCTACCCGTTGCCAGGGGCAACCAGCGTCCAATGAAAGCGGCGAAGGCGTGGCTACCCGTTGGCAGGGGCAATCGCCGTCCAATGAAACTGCAGCCCGCGGCGAAGGCGTCGCTAGCCGTTGCCAGGGTCAACCGCCGTCCAATGAAAGCGGCGAAGGCGTCGCTAGCCGTTGCCAGGGGCAACCGCCGTCCAATGAAAGTGCGTATGGTCCGGCGACACACACACACACACACAGACAGACAGACAGATTCGCGATTTTATATATATAGATTACAGATGCAACTCTATTTCAATGGGACATATTTTGCCAGTATCAAATTATTAAAAATAAGAATAGGCTTTACCCTTTCTGGCAATAATACAGAAGCTATGTTAAGATTTTAATTTTTATTTAAAGCTTTCAAATTTTCTTGCTGTGGATTTCACACCTGATGATGATTGCTTGTGTTGCAGTCGAAACGTCGTGATAATTTTATTGTTTTATATATTTTTTATTTTATTATTTCCATTCTACGTGACTTTCCTGAAAGAACCAAGAATATGATTACTATGTTCAGATGTTCAAATACCAAATATATACATTTTTCAAGTAGTCAAGTCTGCATTAACCACACGAACTTGTGGCAAAACATGCAAATAAAAATGTGATAATATCTGCAGTGTTTTAAACTGATTGGCCTACACTAGACACAGTCTTCTTTATGGCCTTGTCTCACGAGTTTCAAATATCATTGTGGTGTTTGAACATCTTAACACCTGTTTTATTTTACACGTAGTCTTTCGCGACCAATATTATCCATAACAGGTTTTTGTCACGTAAACAAAACAAATTGGCATATTTTGTTCACGTGACAAACCTTACTATTTGGCTGTGTCAGGTGGTGGCTGGTTTAATGACACATTGATATTTGCGCGATCCTAAAAACATCTTATGGACCTCTTTTATAGCCAGAAAGGGTAGAAACCATCCTTATTTTTCCTAACTCTAATTTTTTTTATTACTCGCTTTTATTTAACTCACTCTGTCTGTTGTTGTCATTGTTGTTGTCGTATCCTCAAATCTTCTAACTCAATTTTAACCCAATTCCCAATGTGGTATCGACTGCAAACTTGGTATACTTATGTCATACTGATGACAATACTATATTCTATATAAAAACTTTTTCTAAACATTCATTTTCATATGTAATGTTTCAGCTTGGGTCTAATTGTCCACGCTCAACTGGTGTCTGTAAATCACCACGGTCCCTTACGGTATGGCAAGCTTTGCGGCTACTTCCTGGAGTCGTGGAGTTCTGCCATTACGAGTCGGGTACATTTCATTAAAGCGTGTTTCAATTTTTTTTAAATATTACTTATTTTGGAGGAATTTACGGGCATGACACAACACATTGTGACACACGCACACACAGTAAACATAAGCCACACTGGTTATGAAAAGCAGGGCATAAGAAAGATGGGGAACGGGCTCGCTGCCCAAAGCATAGGGGTGGTACCACCAAAAGGAGTATAGGTTGTGTCCGGCTACCTTCCAATCTGCAGTGGTTATGCCCCTTCATCCTCAGTCCCTGTCTCCCGACCCTCCATCTTCTTTAGCTAATTTCAGATTTTGTGGAGGAGACCCATCTGGCCTCGAATACCCCCTTCTTTTCATTGAGCTTATGTCTCAGGTGCTCCACACCAAAATGTGCCATTGTTTCCGGGTGGGTGGTTCGTGGTTCTTCTTGTTAGTCAAAATAACATTCCTAGATATGATATTGAAGGTTTAGAGGAGATCGTGTTGGTGTCTTCAGGCCACGGGAGGCCTTAATCCCCATGAGGGTCTGCTCTTGATGGGGACACACGGGTCATTACATAACCTTACTATCTCGCCGTGAAGCAGAAGGTGTGGAGATAATTCTGCACTGAGCCTGAAGGATATCTGGGGCAGTCTGAAGAAATGTTCATGCATTTCGCCCTGCTATCATTGGTTCAGTATTATAACTCATTTCTTCTTCTTGGTTCTTTCGGTAAAGTTATGTAGAAGGGAAGTAATAAAATAATAAAAATAAAACAATAAAATAATTCTCGACGAAATGCAGGTATGTGATTAGTACTAATCACATACCTGCATTTCCCATAAATATGCTAAATTCCTCTTGATATGCAAATTATTTTGTCAAGGCGCCCTTCCCCCCTTCCAACCCAGCTTAAATATACGCTCCAAGCGTGGTGTTATTTCATTTAGACGCTGTCTCCCCGACAGACCTGGTCTTCACCTGAGGACGGCTGCTTGCGTTGTGGCCGAAACGTCGTGAGAATTATTTTATTATGTTTTATTTTTATTATTTTATTACTTCCCTTCTACGTGACTTTACCGAAAGAACCAAGAGAATCCCAGCAGTCACGAAAGCTTTAAATCGAAATTTAACTCATTTCTTATTAAATGAATACATGATATGTTGAGTGTTAAAAAAGATGACGCAAAAAATCGTGCGAAATCCAGATATTCCCCATGCTGTATCTGGTTTCCCGGTGACTTTCCACAGATATTCTTAATAGAAATAAGTAATATTTAAAAAAACTTTTTTTTAAACACGCTTTAATGAAATGTACCGTACTCGTAATGGCAAAACTCCAGGAAGTGGCCCCGAAGCTTGCCATGACGTAACGGACCGTGGTGATTTACAGCCAACGTTAGTTGAGCGTGGACAATTAGACCAAAGCCGAAGCATAACATGAAAAATAATATTTACAAATATTTGTTTTTATTTTTAATGATAGAATATAGTATTGCCATCAGTATGACATAAGTATACCAAGTTTGCAGTCGATACCACATTGGGAAGTGGGTTAAAATTGAGTTACAGGATTTGAGGATATGACAACAACAGTGAGTTAAATCAAAGCGTTTAAAAAGCAAGACTGTGGATAAAATACATGTCCACGATAATGTATCTCACTTGCGCATGCTGCGCACGAGCAAAGTGAGGAGTGCGAGACGAGGTAAGATATTCTTCGTGTTGGTGTGCTCACGTGCATTGCACCCTTAAAGGGGTGATGATGCCTCGTAATTGACCATGCAGGAAAGCAGAATTTGATTACAATGCTGATGAGTAATGTTTAACGTGCAATAGTAATAGTAGTAAGGCTTTGCGACCAATATTATCCATATGAGGTTGTTTTTTGGGGGGCTATATCGCGTAAATTATAAACGTGTCGTTAATTTGTAAAATGTTGTGGGTTTTACTCCGCAACAGACACACACACACACCGGTGACTTCTGAACAAGTAACTAATTCGGCACATTTTGTTTTCGTGACAAAAAAGCTGACTTTAATTGGCTGTTATATTCACGTGATCTAACCCGAATAAAAAAAACATCGACTACTGCTAAGTAATAATGTTTTTATTTCTATAAACAGTCGTCCCTCGGTTAGCAGTGACATCGGTTAACGGTCTTTTCGGTTTACCTTTCGCCTCCCCAAGGACCCCCATGGTTTAGACTGAACCTTACAAATGTTGACGAACGCTAACATGTTTCCGTTACATGAGCACGTGGTGGTGCTAAATTTGGCCATTCCGAGCGCTCATAAGTGGGGGCTGAGCCACGCCCTCAGCCAATGAGTGACGCCCATTTATGAGCGAGTTTAGACCTCGGCTTTGTTTACATTATACATTTTCGGTTTGAGCGGTGGAAACAGCTCTAATGCAGACCTCAGTGATTTTTTTTACTTATTTCTAAAGTGTATAAGTGAATTTATAGCGATTGCAATGGCTCCTGAAGTGAATTCGCAAAATAAAAGAGTAGGAAAGTAATTCAGCCTCAAAACGAGGCAGGACATTATCAAGGTCAACTTGGTGACATTAACGATTTTCAAACGTGCAATTCCTATATTCCATTGACAGTTATTTCGATTAGCGATAGTTTTTGTGGAACGGATTAAAAAAAAACATAGCATGGGACCTTTTTTTAAGCAGAACCAGAGTATGAAAAAAATTCTACCGTTTCTGGAAATAACAAAACGGCAGTTGTGTTAAGATATTAAAAAAGCAAATATATACATTTTTGGTAGGCATCTACATTAACTACACGTACTTGTGGTGAACATGCAAACAAACGTGCACTGATAATATACGATTTCAGAAAAACATTAACCAAGGGACTGGTGTAACAAGAAAAAAAGCACAGCTCCAGATTGCCATTTGGGTCTCGGTTAAGCTGCTTGCGTGCTTGCAGAGCTCAGGGCTTCACCTCCCAAAACTGCGATCGGTTTAATTTTCGTGTATGTCTCGTTGCATCTGTCCATGTGAAGCTGTGCGGTGTATGCAGTATCGACGAGGGAATCGTGATGCATGTCCACCGTTTCGTACATAACTTCAGGTGTCGTGTTGGCTGGAAGGAGATGTGGAAAAACATTAACACGCATTGTTGTTATTGTCGCATGCTTTATATTTGGAGTTTGCATTGCTCTCTTTCTCAAAATGTGGAAATGTATTGTAGCAGACAAATACTCTAAACGCGTCTTGACGTTGATTATAAATGTTGGAGGGAAAACCCGGAAGACCCGGATAAAATTCACGCGACCACAATGAGAACATGCAAACTCCAAATATATAGGCCATCAGACTGACACACAGAGCCAGTGACTCACACAAGTCCTCACTACTAGCATACATGAGAATAGGTTTTCCCCTTTTTCTGGCAACAAAACACCAAACTGAAAGCTTTTACAAGGAATCGTGTGTGCATTAACCACGATACTTGTGGTCAGAATGCAAACCAAAAACACTGCTAATATATGCATTGTCTTTGAAACTGATTGGTCCACACCAGAGACAGCTTTATTTTGAGCATTGTCTCAAATGGTGTTAGACCAGAAGACGCCAAAAAACCCAAAAAGGCGCACGCCTACTTCAACACTTACAGGTTGTGTTGGAGAGTAACCCCACAGCATTTACAATTCGAGCACGGTGACGTTTTTCTGGCGATTACAACAACAGCCAACTTCATCAGGTGACAGCCACTCTTAATGGCAAAAACACCTTTCTTTACCTGTGGTGCGGTTTTGTCTCCACTTCATGTATCCGAAAGCAGCCACAGAGACCATCGAGATCAAAACAAAGCAAACGGATATTGCAGCGAGACTTCTCCTAAGGGCCCACTGGTGGGTGCAGGGGCAGGTGGAGGTCGTGGCAGAATGGAGGCCTGTGGAGATATGAAAATCACGATTAACCCCTGCAACAGGAAGGTCAGGTAGCACGGTGGTCAGCGCACTTCGAGTCATGGCCGGTGGTGAGTTTGTATGGTTTGGTTCTATAAAATTTAAGTATTTGTGTTAGTGAAGACCACCGCGTGATGGAAAAATCGCGTTATAATAAATAATACAGGGGGTAAAGCACAGACATGCAAAATAAGTAAACGCAGGCCGAACAAAGACCGAAGCGCATGGTTGATAGCATCTTGAAGCATCCAGCAGCATCCCAATGCCTTGTGATGATGATGATGATGCTACGCCGAGGCAGCCGTTACAACCACTTATTTCTAGTCGCTGTGATATAGTTTCATTCACCCAATTGCGTGATATCCAATTCACATCCGCGTTATAAAAAATACGTTTCCTCATACATTCAGCGTATTATATATCCAATTCACGTTATGAAAACTACGTGTTATAGGAGAACAGACTGTATTACGGTTGCATGTTAGTTCAACCTATAGCAGTCAATAAAAGTAGAACCACTTCGTAGGAATTAATCAGTGGTCATTCTTTACGGACAGCAACCTCCACTGTAGGAATGTGGAGTTGATACAATTTGGCTCAGAGCCACCGTCCCTGCATGTTTGAGCAGAGGGCACACAGAGCGATGTTTACAGGGAACATTACCACCCTGGTACATGCAGCGTATCCCCAGGTACTTTTGTTTTCATCACACATGATCGTTTTAGGATCACTTCATTGAGCTATCATTACGTGTGGCCAGGTCGCTTCTGAAAAAGAGCTATACAGCTCAGCGAGGCCTTACCTGGTAAAATAAAAGAAATAGTTTAGTTTTTTTAGCTTCATCTTGGGTCGAGTTGTTGAAGTAATCAGTGTATTTAGATTGCACTGGTTTGTAAAGTTTTATGTGTCATGTGGTAGGTTTAGTCAATTCCAATTTAGGTCAACTATAATCTTTCACACACACCCCAAACACCTTCCACAACCTCCACAGCTACCCAAAGCAGCCCCAAATCCTATGTCTGGTACAGGAGAGGGGGAGGGGCGGTACCTACACAGAAGGGGGCTAGATCGCGTTAATATAAATACGTCGTTAAACCTGCTACCACCCGACAGCCATTTATAAGGTTTGTCACGTGATCAAAACATGCCAACACACCAGTGTGCTGTACTAGAAATGAATTGTCACGTTTTGTTTAAGTGACAAACCTTACTAATTGGTTGTCATGTGGTGGCGGGTTTAACGACACATTTATATTTCTCTTCTTGGTTCTTTCGGTAAAGTCACGTAGAAGGGAATACGGATGCCTGGGGAATTGATAGTTTAACTTCATATGGCCATGACGGAAATGTATTGGCTGATTTGCAATGCCATATCCACAACATCTTGTGGAAATATCATTTACGCCTCAGTCTGTTCCATTCGTCCGTAAATTACATTTGATGAATAATGGATCATACGAGGTTTTTCTTTTTCTCTACCCATATTTGTACAAACCGATCACTGCTTCTTCCTTCATGGCCAACGGCAATGACAACTCAAATCCTAAGACAGAGACTACCTGCTTACCCAAGTATGTGCACTCTGTTGACAGAACAATCTTCATGAACACTGTTCTTTTTCTTTAACACACTCTGTATCACTTTGGCACTGTCATACCAAAATCAACACGTTGACAGTGGTGACCATTGCCCGCAATATTGTCCAGGAATACCATTAATTTGTGGAGTGCCGGAGTGTGAGGACAGACTTCTACCCACGACGTCGCCTTACCTTCCTGGATGTCCAAGTAGGTTCCGTGATTGTCAGAGTGAACCAAATTGTTGTTTTGCTTTGTGGGCCGCTCGAGGATGTCACAGTAGTAGACGTTTTTGTCGCCAGGCCTCAGGTCACTGATGCTGATGTTAGCCTGGCCCTTTCGAAGGTCACCCACGAGCCCCAGCCGGTCCGTGAAAGTCCCCTCCGTGAAGTTCGTCTCGCTCGTGAATATGATCGTACTCATGCGACTCACCCTCCACTGCACATAGACTTGATTCGTCCAATTAGTCAGCGAGAAGATGCAGGGCAGCATTACAGTTCCACCTTCCATGCCTATGACGGCCCTCTTGGTGTACACTGATGCTCTGCTACCGAATTTGGAGCACTGGAAGCTCACGTCTGCCTCAAAGGGGGCAGCAACAACTGGAAGTGGAAACAGAGGAACGCATTCGAGGTCATCATCACTTTAACACGTACGCCAATTCTTCATCGTAAGTTTTTGGAATAGATCGCGTAAATTTCAATATATTGTTAACCCGCCATCACCCGACATGGCCAATCAGTAAGGTTTGTCACGTAAACAAAACGTGCCAATTATTTACGAGCTCAGCACCAATCAGTGTGTTGGAGAGTCAACCCACAACATTTACAATTCGAGTACCCTCACGTTTCACCAGTAATTGCATTAACCAGCCTCATCAGGCAATAGCAAGAATTGTGGGGAAATCCTCCCCCTGTTTGGATCTTAAATAGAACGAGGTGAATGTGATGTCATCACTTGTGAGACAATTAGGAGAGGGGGGGTTAATGTATACATATACATTGAAATGAATATTCTATTGGTTGAGTTATTATTTATAAGCCACTTCGTTGCGCTATCATTTGTGATAGCCAAGTCGCTGCTGAAAAAGAGCTGCACTGCTCAGTGGGCCTTACCTGATAAAAATAACAATCTAGTTTAGGTTTAGATCTGGTTTGAACAAAAACGGTTACCACATCCCGTGATTTTACATGCGCTTCTGTAGCCGTCTGGAACGTCCTTACATTCTTTATTAGGAAGCTTCTGTAGCTATGCACTTTTAAATAATCCAGATTTTAAACTCATTTCTTCACAGAGCTGTGTTTTGTGTTGAGTTTGTTGTCCTTTCCCTGTACCTCCGATTCGCACGGTTGGCTATGTACGTAGTGAAAGAAGTTCAACATACATGAGCACACGTAGACATTGGTTGTAATTTTCTTTCCCAACAAAACAAATACTGTATAATTAATGTAAAGGGGTCATTGTGGTCAGGGATACGGATGCCACAACACCTCAGCATCACCTTTACAGTTGACCACGGGTTTCCATTGCTCGAAAACCTCTGGGTGCCACTCTCAACTAAAACTATTAAACATTTTTTTTTTTTACAAGGTAAGGCCCACTACTGAGATATATAGCTATTTACTCTTTGGTTCTTTCGGTAAAGTCATGTAGGTATAAAATAAAATAAATAACGACGTTTCGATCGCAACACAAGCGGTCGTCCTCAGGCGGAAAAAAATGAATCTAGTTCAGCAATTCCACTGCTGGATTATATGGGTTCTAAATGAGGAGGTAAAACCCGGAGGATCCAGAGAAAAATCCACGGGGTTAATGTAGTCATATAAAATACAATGGGTGTCTATTATTGGCTGGGTTATTCACAGTTAATCAACATACACTATGTACGTACATCCCAGATGCGCATGATGTATGTACACTCTGTATTTACATCATCTATATACGTTAGGTATGTGCATTATATAAATGTGGTATGTATATGCATAATGTATATACATAACTATGGTCTGGTGTGTGTACGGAGCCAACTCTCTACCTTTCGCCTACAAGCCGTACAGAGGGTTCTCTACACAGATCCATCACCCGTGTGGTGTTCCACATGATCTTTTTTTCTCAATAACCTGATGGGGCCTTCAGTATAGCAAGCAGCTCTTCTTTATGGACATTATGGGTATTCCACTCACAGATTCCTCACTTCTACAGGAGTGTCTTATAGACCTGGGGTTTCCTTGTCACTGCCCGACTGAATAAACCCTGGTCAGCATCAGAATGAACTCACGAGCCGCTGTTGTGGAACCCGAACATGGCACTACCCTCTCTTGTGAGCCCTGCCATGGATAAATGCATGCTAGACGCACGTCTTATGAGGGTGGGCGATTTAGTGAAACCAGGCAACGGAGGGGCAGTGGCTTCTCCCTACCGAGATAGCTGCAAAGCTTGTGAATGAAGTGCGAAGGTCTTTCTCAACAGCAGTGGGGAGTGCACCTGCTGTGAATGCTGGTGATGAGTCAGCTAGCGGTGGCTCAGTGCCACTAAAACTGAATGTCGTCGCAGCAAGGAAGCACTCAATCTCCTTTTCACAGCAGCTCTGGGTACACACTTCAGGGAATTACCAGGCGGGGTGCTTCTCAAATGTAGAGCGGAGGAAGCTGTATGCCCAAATTCGTTGTGTCTGTGTATTTATGTGCATATTATGTATGTTCTTTATGTTTGTACATTTTGTATGCACGTTATGTGTGTTATCTGACCCCACAAAAAAACGAAATAATCTGCCAATCACATTTGCCGCAAATGTCCACGCGGTCACATCGTCACATTTAAACCGTCGCGAGACGCACACGCGCCTGAATCCGTGCGGGCTCTCGAGCCGTGCGGTGCCATGCAAGTGGGTAGGGGAGCCGTGCGGTAACTACTCACCACCCTGCGCCCCGCTCACCCACAGCCCCAGCACCACCATGCACGCGGCCAGATGCCCCATTTCCGCTTGCCTCAGCAGTCTGCTATCAGTGGTCGCCTGCAGGTCTCCCTTTTAAACCCGGGGGGTGGGGAAATCGGTCACGTAGACAATCACGGGAGGCGTGGCGACGTACAATGTCATGTAGCCGGGCGGTGGTGGCTGTGTACGCGTGGGTGCCCCGATGGCTAGAAGATGTTATCTGCCTCGCCTCGTATGCAGGAGGTCGTGGGTTCGATCTCGAACCTGACGCCTGTTGTATATTTGGAGTTCGTGTCTCTCTTTTTCTCCATGGTCGAGTGGATTTTTCTCCAGGTCCTCAGATTTTTCTCCTCCACATTTAGAACCAACATCACGCATTTAGAGTATTTGGCTGCTAAACAAATGTCCAAACGATAATAAGTCCACTTAATTGTGCCATCATTTGTGTGTGACCAGGTCGCTTCTAAAAAGAAAAAGCTACATAGCTCAATGGGCCTTACCTTGTAAACTATATATTTTTTAAAATAGTTTTTGGGTTATATATATGGGATCTTTTTGCCAGTAACAAAAATTATTAGAAATAAGATTAGGAGCTTCTAAAAAGAAAAAGCTACATAGCTCAATGGGCCTTACCTTGCAAACTATATATTTTTAAAAATAGTTTTTGGGTTATATATATGGGATCTTTTTGCCAGTAACAGGAGTTGTGTTAAGATGTTCATACACCACATAGATGATACCTTTTGCAAGGCATCAATGGTTTATGCAGACTATATGCCTTGCAAAAGGTATATTTGTGGTGTTTAAACATGTTAGCATAACTTGTGTTATATTATTGCCAAAATGGTCAAAGTCTATTCTTATTTTCATATTTTTTTACGAGAGAGCAAGTGAGGGAGACGCGTTCATGCAGAACTCCTAGTCTTACCTCTAAAACTTTATTTTAGTCACTTTTTTTTGCGATTTGTTTTCACCGATATAAGTTTCTTGCTTTATACATGTAATAAAGGACTCTTTAACTGTGTCTGTCTCCGTTGTCCTTTATTTGGGTTCTTACAACTTGTCCCACACGGCCCTCGTTCAGAGCCTCCCCGCTTGGCAGCTCGACAGCTGCCGTCGCTCCCGTAGCCTTTCTCCACTCCGATGCAGCTCCGCTGCAGGCTTCCTTGTGCAGTCTTTCAGCTGCTCTCGCGGCAGCTCCACCGCTGCTCTCCGTTCCACCCGTGCCCGGTCACCGCTGGCCGACGGTGCCGAGTCTCACCGCGTGGCGATCTCGCCACTCTCCACCCTCTGCCCTGCGTGGCCTCACCCTGTCTTTATTCCCACACTCTCCTCCCGTCTCTTCCGGTTCTCTCCCTTAAGAGCTTACCCCTCTCTCCCACGTGACCTAACCCCTCCCCCCGTGACGTCATATCCGCTCACCATTCACCCTCACCACTCACCCTGACCACTCACTAATCACCACTCACAACCGCCACTCACCCTTACTACTCACCACTCATTCTCACCAATCACACCCTCACCAATCACCACTCACCCTCACTGGGTTTTCCTCCCCAATTTTTAAAATCAACGTCAAGCGTTTCGAGTATTTGGCTGCTAAATTGTCCACATGATAAGCCACTTCGTTGAGCTATCATTTGATGATGGCCAGGTCGCTTCAGACAAAAGAGCTACATTGCTCAGTTGTCCTTACCTGGTAAAGTAAAAAAGTAGTTCATAGTTAAGCAGGGAAACAAAATATATATTGTACATGCAGTCAACGACTTACGAACACCCGACTGACGAATGGGGCTCGGAACCCATTCTAGATTGAGAACTCATTTTATTACTACTTTTTGTGTTTATTTGTGTTGTCCTTATACAACCCATATAAAAATAATATATCACGACGTTTCGATCGTAAGACAAGCGGGTCGTCCTCAGGCGGAAAAAAATAATCCAGCAGTGGAACTGCTGAACCATGTATCGATGGTTCTGGCTGTGTGATGGGCTGTGTGTCTCACTGGCACGACCACCGTTGCGGTGGTTCTCTTGCGTTAACTTGATAATCCCCCTAATCTCTCTGCATAATCTCTCCCAACAACATAGTGTTAATCTCCCATTAACACCGCTGTTGTGCGCATATGCGGGGACGATACTCTAATGGCGATGGAAGCTCATTTCATGCTAATCTCTCTCCCTAATATCTCTTTCCCTAATCTCCCCCATTAACACAACTGACATGCTTGCGTGCGGGGATGGAATTATTTTCCAGCTCAGACCCCGCCTGCTTGCCCTTCGCCACATATATAACCTTTTGTTGTAACAGCTCTCTCGCTGTGTTTCTTCCTGGTTCAGCAGCTCCACTGCTGGATAATTTTTTTCCGCCTGAGGACGGACCGCTTGTGTTGCGATCGAAACATCGTATATATATTTTCCTACTTACGTGACTTTACCGAAAGAACCAAAGAGTATGGATTCCTGCAATCTACTAGACACTACTATACACTACACTTTCTATATATTTATACATTACTATACACTGCACTACTGTACACTACACTATACTATACACTACTCTACAATACATTATACACTACACTATTGACCACACCAGCCATTCGAAGATTGAGTCGTAGTGATTCCTTCCGTTGTCGAATCGAAGGCGCCGATTATCGCTGTTGACTTCATTGCGACGCAGTCACGGGTGGTAATCGAACTAAAAATTAAGAATCGATTCACGTCTTCCGCCTCCACATGGGAATCGCTGGCAGGGAATCGTTGGCGATGAGTCGTTTAATCGAACGCTTTATTTTTTGATTTTCTTGTTGCCGGGCCCGTCCGCCACTATGAAGTGAGTTTTACAAAGTGCAGAGATTCTCGCAACGACAGTAGTAGTGTCGTAGTAGTAATAATACGCTTTAATGGTGTCGCACAGACGATCCATCGCCGAGGCCTCCGTGTGGTTTTGATCTCCAGACCCCCACGCGAGCCCTAAGGCCTAGCGTCGCAGGCTGCGCGCTCTCTCGATCCGCTGCTGCTGCGACTTCTCTCACCTCATCACCTCCTCTCTCCAACCCCCTCCCCTCTTCACTCGCCTCCTCTGCTCTCTCAGCCTCACATTGTCGCCTCTCTCCCAAACCTCCCTCATCCCTCTCACTCCCCTTCCACTGCCCCCCCCCCGTGTCTCCCCCCCCCCCGTGTCTCCCCCCCCCCCCCGTGTCTCCCCCCCCCCCCGTGTCTCCCCCCCCCCCCCCGTGTCTCCCCCCCCCCCCCGTGTCTCCCCCCCCCCGTGTCTCCCCCCCCCCCGTGTCTCCCCCCCCCCCGTGTCTCCCCCCCCCCGTGTCTCCCCCCCCCCCCGTGTCTCCCCCCCCCGTGTCTCCCCCCCCCCCCGTGTCTCCCCCCCCCCGTGTCTCCCCCCCCCCTGTGTCTCCCCCCCCCCCCGTCTCCCCCCCCCCGTCTCCCCCCCCCGTCTCCCCCCCCCGTCTCCCCCCCCCCCCGTGTCTCCCCCCCCCCCGTCTCCCCCCCCTGTCTCCCCCCCCCCGTGTCTCCCCCCCCCCCGTCTCCCCCCCCCCCGTCTCCCCCCCCTGTCTCCCCCCCCCCGTCTCCCCCCCCCCCCGTGTCTCCCCCCCCCCCGTCTCCCCCCCCCCGTGTCTCCCCCCCCCTGTGTCTCCCCCCCCCTGTGTCTCCCCCCCCCCCCCGTGTCTCCCCCCCCCGTGTCTCCCCCCCCCGTGTCTCCCCCCCCCCCCGTGTCTCCCCCCCCCCCGTCTCCCCCCCCCCCGTGTCTCCCCCCCCCCGTCTCCCCCCCCCGTCTCCCCCCCCGTCTCCCCCCCCTTGTGTCTCCCCCCCCCCCCGTGTCTCCCCCCCCCCGTCTCCCCCCCCCGTGTCTCCCCCCCCCCGTCTCCCCCCCCCCCGTGTCTCCCCCCCCGTGTGTCTCCCCCCCCCCCGTCTCCCCCCCTTGTCTCCCCCCCCCCGTGTCTCCCCCCCTCCGTGTCTCCCCCCCCCCCCCGTGTCTCCCCCCCCCCCGTGTCTCCCCCCCCCCGTGTCTCCCCCCCCCGTGTCTCCCCCCCCCGTGTCTCCCCCCCCGTCTCTCCCCCCCCCCCCGTGTCTCTCCCCCCCGTGTCTCCCCCCCCTTGTGTCTCCCCCCCCCCGTCTCCCCCCCCCCGTGTCTCCCCCCCCTTGTCTCCCCCCCCCCCGTGTCTCCCCCCCCCCCCCGTGTCTCCCCCCCCGTCTCTCCCCCCCCCCGTGTCTCTCCCCCCCGTGTCTCCTCTCCCATGTCTCCCCCCCCCGTCTCCCCCCCCTCCCCCCCGTGTCTCCCCCCCCGTGTCTCCCTCCACCCCTCCCCCCCCGTATCTCTACCACCCCCTGTCTCTCTCTCCCCCATGACCCCCCCCGTCCCCCCTCCCGTGCCCCCCCCCCCCGTCTCCCACCCCCCCGATGTCTCCCCCCCCCCGTGACCCCCCATAACCTCCCCCGTGCCCCCCCCGTGACCCCCCATAACCTCCCCCGTGTCCCCCCCCCCAGCCCGTTGACCCAGGTGCGCCGCGTGAACGCGATGAACGCGCGCGAGTCGGCGCAGGGCGTGAGCGAGGCGGCGTCGTGGCACGCCGACTACCGCGGCAGCGCCTGGATCTTCGTCGGAGGACTCCCCTACGAGCTCTCGGAGGGCGACATCATCTGCATCTTCTCGCAGTGAGAGACAGACACAGACAGGACTGCAGGGCAGTGGTTCTTCAGCAGAGGTCCATCACGCACCCCCTTGGGGTGCGAGATTCCCTTTCTGGGGGTGTGCGAGACGTGGCCAGATTTTTTTCAAAGGTAAAATCATCGAAACGCAAATGAAACACGGGGCACGGTAAGTTACAGATTTCAATACTCTGGTTCTTTCGGTAAAGTCACGTAGGTATAAAATAAAATAAATCACGACGTTTCAGGCGCAACACAAGCATCTGTCATCAGGTGGGAAATCATCATGCTTTCCTCATCATGCTTTCCCACATGATGACGGACGCTTGCGTTGCGCCCGAGACGTGATTTATTTTATTTTATACCTACGTGACTTTACCTGAAAGAACCAACGAGGATGGATTCCTGCATTCAAGAAAGCTTCAAATCAAGAAAGTTACAGATTTGTTTTATCAAACCCCCTATGTACTTATTAACGTTGTTATTATTTTTATGATTAAGAACCAAAGGGGTGCAAGGCTGCAGTAAATGTGTAGCGTGATGACATCTGCATCTTCTCACAGTGAGAATATTCATACTGGAGGAATCCGGTGAGCTATAAAGCTCTTTTAAAAAATGTCCAGTAGATTAGCACGGTTGGCTACGTACGGTGCTAAAGAAGTTCAACATACCTACTACTATACACTACATACGACACTGCTACACACTGCACTACTATACACTGCACCACTATACTACATTGAAAACTAATTTCCTTAGAACTGCTTTTTGTGTTTAGTTTGTTGTCCTACCCTTGCACCTCCGGTTAGCACGCTTAGCTACGTACAGTGCGAAAGAAGTTCAACATCCGTGCATACATACGTGTGATGATGATGTGATAATAATTGCAGGCATAATGACACTGATGATGATCATGCAGGTGATGTTGCTGATGATTATGATTCTGGTGCTGCTGATGCCTTTGCTGTTTGTATTGGCGCCGTATTGGCTCGGGGTGCCGTGGTGGCTAGAAGATGTTAACTACCTCGCCTGGTATGCAGGAGGTCGTGGGTTCAATCCCGATCTTGACGCCTGTTGTATATTTGGAATCTGTGTGTGTCTCTCTCTCCCCGTGTTCACTTGGATTTTTTTCCGGGTCTTTCGGTGTTTTCCCCTCACCATTTAGAATGAAGGTCACACGTTTAGAGCATGTGGCTGCTGCTATACATTTCCACATGATAAGCATCTGTGGTCATGTCATCTCTAAAAAAAGAGCTATACAGCTCAGTGGGCCCTTACCTGGTAAAATAAAATAAAATATTTAAAAATACTTTTTTTTTAAACACGCTTTAATAAAATGTACTGTCCGAGCTGCCCTTCCCCCTGCCCCCTTCCCCCATCGTCCCTCCCCTCCTTCCACATCCCCCGCCCCTCGGCGTGGCTCCCCGTGGCTTGCCGTAACGTAAGGGACCGTGGTGATTTACAGCCAACGTGAGTTGAGCGTCGACAATTAGAGCCATAAAAAAGATCGTTTAAAAATATATATTTTTTAATTTTCAATGATAGAATATAGCATTGTCATCAGTATGACATAGGTATTTCAAGTTATAAGTCGATAGCACATTGGTAAGTGGGTAAAAATTGAGTTACAAGATTTCGTTTTTGAGGATACAACAGACGGAGTGAGTTAAATAAAAGCGTGTAAAAAGTAGTTTCGTTTTCATAGTTTAATAATTTATACTTTTGATGCCGATGCTGTTTGTAATGACGCCGCTGATTCTGCTGCTGTGCGACTCAGGTACGGGGAGGTGGTGAACCTGAACCTGGTGAGGGACAAGGCCACGGGAAAGTCCAAGGGCTTCACCTTCATCTGCTATGAGGATCAGCGCAGCACCAATCTAGCAGTGGATAACTTCAACGGCATCAAGGTACGATGGTGGTGTGGTGTTAGTGGTGGTGATGATCGTTGCATTTTTGTGACGTGGGTCGATTGTTTCTGTGTGGGTTGTGTTCGTTTTGTTGTGCATTTGCGTGCTCATGCAATTACGCATTCACCCACTGGCTCATACACTCACACACCCATTGAATTATTCACTCAACCACCCACACAGTAATTAACTCGCCCACACTACTCGCACTACTCAGATACTCATACACTCCCACACACACCCTCACACTTAACCCACTCACTCACTCACCCACTCATACACTTAACTCACCCACCCATTCATATACTTGACTCACCACACTCACCTACTCGCACTCAATCACAGAGACAAAGATCACCCCGTATTGCCTTAACATACTCTTGGGGCAAGTGCTGTTAGCGAGTAGCACCTATGAAGGCCGGCACGGCACACGAGAGGGTGGGTTGGCCTGCACCACGCCCGGCCGCCTTTGTCTCCACAGTGGAGATGTTTACACACTGCACCAGGTACACATTTGAGGCCGAATCGACCTAGAGGCCCAGAACCGGTACAGATTATCTTTGTCCTCGTTTCTGTGTGTTTGTGTATCTGTGTGCGTGTGTTCTTCTGTGTATGTTTATAACTAGTGTGGTCTACTGTAGCGTGGAGTCTAATGTAACGTTGGGTCTACTATAGCAGGGGTGTACTGTAGCGTGTGTGTGTGTACTGTAGTCGATGGTGCATTGTGGCTTGAATAGCATAGTGTGTAGTGCAATACACTGTGTACAGTGCAGCGCAGATAGTGTGCGTGTGGTAGAGGCTGTGTAATTGGTGCAGGCTATGTGTGTATGCGGGCCGTGTTGGTGTGATTGGGGGATGTAGGTAGATCAGTGCATGCGAGGGGCTGGTAACCCCTCCACTTGGCACTTCTTTCTCACCAAACACCGACATGAGCCCGTGCTACACACCAAGGGGACAGGTGTTCATGGCGCCTCATGGCCAAACTCCATCTGGCAGATCCAGGAACAGGAAAACACTGAGATCGGCCACATGGAATGTTCGGACTCTCGTTGCGGAGGAGAGGCTGCCACTCCTCTGTCGGGAGATGGACCGGTACCGCCTGGACCTTTGTGGAATACAGGAGGTCTGGTAAACCGGTTCTGGCTCCAGTCATCATGAGGGGTGGACAGTTCTCTACTCAGGGCAGGAGACTGCCAAACAACAGGGAGTGGCATTTCTTCTGAACAAAGCAATTAATGGGGTGTGGGAGCATGGCGGTGAGGTGTGGGAAGCTGTAAGCCCCAGGCTACTATGGGCTCACCTTCCCATGAACCAGAGGCGAGGAGTGGTGGTCATGGTTACTTATGCCCCCACCGAAGATGAACATCAGTGAAGGGATGCAGGCAAAGCCGATGCCTTCTATGACCTCCTGTCACAGGTGCTAGCTAAAATGGCCCCTCGGGATAGAGTCATCCTGTTGGGTGACTTTAATGCCCGAGTGGGTCATGATGCTGGCACCTGGTCTGGAGTGATTGGAAGGCATGGGCCAGATTGGCTCAATAACAACGGTAGGAGGCTGCTAGACTTTTGTGCAGCCCCATGGGCTTGTATTTACGAACACGTTCCAGCATCAGCGCATCCACGCAACATGTATGCATGCCGGGTCCAAGCAAGAACATCTGCTGAGCTATATAATTATGGACCAGCGGATGCGGGCCAATGTCCTTTACACCAGGAACGACCATGGAGCTGATTTGCCCACTGACCATTGCTGGGTGTCCATATAGGACTCCATTCAAACCCACAGTGGCCTGGTCTCAGCTGGCTGAGGATAGTTGCAAGCAGGAGTTTCAACATCGCTTGCAGCTGGGGTTAGCATCATGCCCCCCCTCCTTCTGATGCTGAGGGGAAATGGGTGAGGTTCAGGACTGTGGTTCATGCAGCTGTAACGACTGCATTGAGTATGCAGTCCAGACCTCCCCAGAGACCCTGGCTGAAGGAGGAGGTGTTCCGGCTGGTTGAGAGAAAACGACAGACCCACTCCCATTGTCTAGGGGACAGGAGTGGGCCTGTAAATATTTGAGGGCTGCTGTGCCTCAAATATTGGCAGAAGTAGCCACCCCTTCTGAATGGTTGGCTGAGATGCCATCTGTGGAGGATGTGCTAGGGGCGATCTGACACCAGGAAAAGCACCGGGCAGAGACGATCTCCCAAGCAAAATGCTGAGGGAGGGTTGCATTTGTGCGCAAACTGCCCTACATGACATCATCACAACTGTCTGGCCCACAGGACAGGTTCCGCAGGATTGTAAGGATGGGGGGGGGACTGCACAGATTGTAACAACAGATTGTAACAACTATGGGGGCATCTCTCTTCTCACTGTGCCGGGAAAGGTCCTGGCAAGGTTTATTCAATATCGCCTTGCCAGGCACGCTGAGGAGAGAGGCTTGCGGGGAGCTCCAATGTGGTTTCAGACCAGGGCGGTCCTGCACGGATGCCATATTCTCTGTCCGTCTGCGACAGCAGAGGCGTAGGGAATTCCAACAAGACCTACATTTTTGCTTTATTGGCCTGGTCAAGGCCTATGATACCATCAATAGGACAGGGCTGTGGGCAGTTTTTAATGCATTCGGAGTCCCTGACTGTCTGCTCAGAATCATTCAGGGCCTTCATGATGGTGAGCAGGCCCGGGTAAAGCTACGTGGCCAGAAGTCGGAGCCATTCCCTGTTCACCTAGGGGTGCGACAGGAATGTTCTCTATCTCCCACATTATTTAACACCATCTTTGACCAAGTAGTTCAAGAAGCTTTCCATGGTTGTACCGGAGGAATTTCCATCTGGTATAGATGCAATGGGAGGCTGATCGATGCCCATGTGTGGTTGAAGAATGGCTCCCTATTGGTCAACCATGCCATGTACGCTGATGATCTGGTAATTGCTGCTCAACCAGAGGAGGAGTTGGAGGCACGGCTGCTGAACCTGGAATGTGCTACTAAGAGGTGAGGTCTTACCATCAGCCCGACAAAATCTAAGCACCTGCCTGGGTATTTTGTACCATCGAACACTCCACCCCCTCAGCTACCCTTTGGTGATGGAGCAGTTGTGGAGAGAGTGGAGAGTTTTCCATACATGGGCAGTGTGATCATAAATGGTTCCGGTTTGACAGCAGAGGTCTCACTGAATCAGTCGAGATGCATGATCTTTTCATCGGCTGTATAACGCTGTGTCCAAGCTACCTGGTCTGTCGCTCCACACACAGCTTCGGGTCTTCATGGCCAAGGTCATGCCCTTCATTCTCTACGCTTGGGAAACGTGGACCCTCCTATTGGGACATCTTCGCTGGTTAGAAACATTTAGGCTGGCCTGCCTACGATCTATCGTGGGTTTAACCAGGCGGGATTGTGTCAGGAGCTCACAAATCCTTGAAAGACCTGGACAAAGTCCCATCGGTGAGCTCCTTCGGCAGGCAAGGCTGCGTTGGCTGGGTCATGTAGCCCACATGCCCAGCCACCGCATGCCTAAACAGCCTTTGTTTGGCTGGATAGAGAGAAGAAATGGAGTGATGTGGTCCAAGAGGATGTGGATCTGAGTGGATTTGCCGATGACCAGCGGTGTCAAGATAGGCCTCTGGAGGAGGCTCTTGAAGGACGCTGCTGGGCAGTTGGAGGCAGTCACCCTCCAGCAACAATGGAGGACAGAGGAGTGACGCTCGCAACAACGAGCGGAGCGCCGGGCAACTAAAACACAGCAAGTTGGCACAGTAGGGGGCACAGGTGGTGCATCGACCAGTCATCTCAGTCAGTCAACCCATGGCACCTGGGTCTGCCCTGTGACCTGGTGCCTTAACGTGTACATAGCTTGGCACAAGCGCTAGGGTGACGTCACCGCCACTTAGTGGCGAATGGCGGTTGTTGTGTTTATTTACGTGTGTGTATGCTTGTGTGCGCGCATGTGTGAATGCGCGCGGCAGATCAAGGGCCGCACACTGCGCGTGGACCACGTCTCTGAGTACCGTGTCCCCAAGGACCACACGGACACCGATCCGGTCACCCGGGCCCTGCGCGAGCACGGCTGTGGGCCCCTGGTTCCCACCCCCACCGCCACTACCCCCAGCGAGACCCCCAGCGAGACCCCCAGCAGGACCCCTTGCCCTGCGGGATCAACCGGGTCGCGCAGTGACACTGACGAATCTCCCCGGAGGAAACGCAAGCACGGTGAGACATGGGGCGAGAGAGACACGGGGCGAGAGAGACACGGGGGAGAGAGACACGGTGGGAGAGAGACACATGGGGGAGAGACATGGGGTGAGGGGGAAGAGACACAGGGAGAGAGACACACAGGGGAGAGACGGGGTGGGGGAGAGAGAGACACGGGGGAGAGAGAGACACGGGGGAGAGAGAGACACGGGGGAGAGAGAGACACGGGGGAGAGAGAGACACGGGGGAGAGAGAGACACGGGGGAGAGAGAGACATGGGGAGTGAGAGAAACATGGGAGGGGAGAGCCATAGATGAGAGAGACATGGGGAAGAGAGAGACATGGGGTGGGGTAGAAAGCGAGACATGGGGGAGAGACACATGTGGAGAGACACGGGAGAGAGAGAGACACGGGAGAGAGACACGGGGGAGAGAAAGAGAGACATGGGAGAGAGAGAGACGGGAGAGATAGAGACACGGAGAGAGAGACATGGAGAGAGAGACACGGGTGGAGAGAGTTACATGGGGGGAAAGAGAGACATGGGGGGAGAGTGATGTGGGGAGAGAGCTGGACACAAGAGAGAGAGGCAGAGCGATGTGGAAACATGGATGTGTGAACCCATCTGCGCATCATCGCTGGCCCATATGCTCGGTGATTGGAGAACTTTCTCCTTGGGCTGCGCCGGTAAAGCAATCACCGACAGCATGTGGGTTGAACCTGTGGCCCTGTAGGAGACGGATCCCACGAGAAGAAGCAGAAGCAGCAGAAGAAGAAGAGGAAGAAGGATAAGAAACTAAAGAAGAAAGACAAGAAGACACGGGCAGATGAGCAGGAGGAGGAGGAGCAAGAAGAGGAGGAGGTCCTTGAAATCAAACCTCCCTCTGTCCGTGTGAAAATTGAGAAATCGGACCCCGGATACGAAAAAGCAGCCATGGGGAAACGCGGGGAGAGGCACGTGGAGGGCGACAGGGATGGACGTAGGGACGGGCAGGGACACGGGCAGAGTGAGGTGAGCAACGAGAGGGATAGGCAGGGCGCTGCGGAGAGGAGAGTGAAGATGGAGAAAGGGAGTGAGGGTGAGAGGGAGAGAGGTGGTGAAAGGGAGAGACCAAGAGATGGTGACAGACAGACGGGTGAGAGGGAGAGACAGAGGGACGATGCGAGGGAGAGACTGAGAGAGGGTGAGACGGAGAGAGGTGAGAGGGATAGGCAGAGAGACAGTGACAGACAGAGAGGTGAGAGGGAGAGACAGAGAGATGGTGAGACGGAGAGGCAGAGGGGTGGTGAGAGACAGAGAGATGAGAGGAATAGACAGAGAGACGGTGAGTGGGAGAGACAGAGAGATGGGGAGAGACAGAGAGACGGTGAGAGACGGAGAGACAGTGAGAGACCGAGAGATGGGGAGAGACAGAGACAGAGAGACGGTGAGAGACAGAGAGACAGTGAGAGACCGAGAGATGGGGAGAGACAGAGAGACGGTGAGAGACGGAGAGACGGTGAGAGACAGAGAGACGGTGAGAGACAGAGACAGATAGATGGTGAGAGACAGAGAGACAGTGAGAGACCGAGAGACGGTGAGAGACAGAGACAGATAGATGGTGAGAGACAGAGAGACAGTGAGAGACCGAGAGACGGTGAGAGACAGAGACAGATAGAGGGTGAGAGACAGAGAGACAGTGAGAGACAGAGAGACAGTGAGAGGGACAGGGATCATGGTAGGGAGAGAGACACAGGGCGAGGCATGGAGAGAGACAATAAGAGGAGCAAGGAGAAAGAGAGACAGAGATGGTGAGAGGGATAAACCGGAATTACAGTCGAGAGAGAAATGGACAGAGGGCTACAAAGGGAGACACGGGGAGAGACATGGAGAGACAAGAGACAGTACGCTGACGCCACGTCCTCACGGCTTGCCAACTGACGTGACATGCAGTGAACGAACAGAGGCATGCGAAGGGGACACTGCGTCTTCACATCAAATGCGCGGTGAATGATTGGAAACGCTTGTAGATGACACGGGAATGCTGCGTCCTTATCGCGCGATGACCGAGCAGAGACGCGTGTAGGTGATGGCGCATCCTCATGGCGTTACGAATCCTTTAGTTTTATTTAAGGACCGTTGCCTTTTTTATTAAAAGTTTGTGCAAATACACTGATTTCTTTGTGGTTTCCTACAGTGCTCTGGACATGTATGCAGTGATATTAACACGTTTGCCCTTCAAACACCCAAAACTTCAGGAGGCCAGCTACAAACGGCACTTTCAAATTTGTAACAGGTGACACGTTCCTTCAATGGAACAAGAGCTTCGGTATGTATGTTGAAATTATTTTGCACCGTACATAGCCAACCATGCTAATTCGGAGGTGCGTGGAAGTAAAACAAACTAAATACTAAAATCAATTCTAAATACATGAATTTTAAATCTAGATTTAAAAGTGCACATCTCCAGTGGCTTTCTAATATCGTAAGGAAGAGCATTCCAGACAGCCGCAGAAGAACATCTAAAAACGCGCGATGCAGTGATTGTCTTTGTTCGATGGCTAGCCAACGCTGCTGCAAGGATGGCCAGAGTTTGCATGATTCTGGTTTATGCTCCTTGACGAGATGAACAAGGTATTGTGTTCATTTGCGGCAAGCACTTTGTGTGTAACGACCGGTGGTAAAGGGATGAGGGGAGAGAATGCAAAAGTGAAGCAGCAGACCGAGATGCATTGTGACCTGTAGCATGGTGAGTTGGTGTGTGGGTGGGTTGGCGCATGAGTGTGGGTGGTTGGTTGAGAGGGGAATGAGTGGGTGGTGAAATGTGAGTGAGCGAATGGAATTTTGCACAAATGATGTCAGAGCATTTAACATCTTTTACCACGTGGTATTTGGAAGCCGACTGCCCTCCCAACAATGGAGTGGAGTGCCTGGCAGCTAAAACGGTAACAAATTTGCACAGTGGGTAGCACAAGCGATTCTTCTTTCATATGGAATAGGGTGGGTGGTAGCAGGTGGGGGGGAGCAACAGTTATAGATAACATCGTTGAATGTTAAGGTTCATTTTTCCCATTTGTGGAACAACGTGTTACGACACCGCCGCTGTGCTGCGTCCAAGCCGCGGTTCAGTGTTGTCCACAGCCGTCATGAGAGAGAGAGAGAATATCAGTCTCTTTGCACGTTTGGGTCCTCAATGATGTTTTTGTTTGCCATGTTCATAGCTGCCCACCATTCAGACCATCGAGTGCCAGTTGTCTTTATTTTCGACTGCCAGAGCAGAGCCGCGATATCTCCATGAAGGCATCCTGAATTTAATCCGAGGGTGTGGGGGGTGCATTTTATGTCTCGGAGGAACAGCAGGGAGGAGTTTTCCACGGTCTCGTTGTTACTCCCGGATTGTCGCGGCATCACGTCGGGATTTTGGCCAGAGCAAATGTTTGCCAGCACAGGAAGCCACGGCAGTGGAGTTGGAATTCAGGCTGCCGCTGATGATGCGAAGTGCAGTGTTGATTTTGACGTCGACGACGTTTGTGTGATGGCTGGCAATCCACACTGGACCAAGTCCCCTGCGTTGATATTTTGAACTTGCGGGCGTCGCTTTTCCACATTCCTGCCCGCGAGTTTCTGGTTAATGATCACTTGTGGTTTTGGTTTTCAAGGTGGTGCCCATAGTTGAGCGTCTGGTCTCGGGGTGACTCCGTAGGTAATCGTGGGTGGTGATCGTGTTTAGCGTTCCACAGAAGTTGATATTTAATGTTTTCGTGGCTTGCCTGTTCAGGTGGAAGATGCAGATGACGCTCTTGGAAGTGTTTGGCTTTCAGTGCCAATTTGTGAAATATGCTTCTTATAAGGTCTTGAGATATTTTTAGAGAACTTTTACAGTGTCTTCTATTGTCCGGGCTTGGGTTGGCAGCGCGATGTTGTCCGCGTACGTGAACTTACGGGAGGGTGTTGCCGGAATGTCGCTGGTGTAGAGATTGAACAGCACTGGGGCAAGGACAGAACAGATCCCTGCTAGAGTTCATTGTTCAATCTCCGTAGGCTGCCGGCAGCCTCACCGACGTGGACGGTGAACCATCGGTTGCTCAGCATTTTGTTGATTAGTCTGAAAGCCGGGCGGCAAGGCACGGCTGTCGCAAGCTTCAGCAGGGGGGACACCCGCCACACGATATCGTGTACCGAGGAGAGGTCGATGAATGCTGCTCCTGTTTTGAACTAGAACTTGGTCGCAGCAGTTTCGGCTGTTTCGGAACCCGGCTTGTTCCTTGGGGACCTATGTTGTCAAGCGTAGGATTTGGCCTTTGGAGCAGGAGCCACTCCATTAGCTTGCAGCAGATGCTGAAGAAGGAGATAGGGCGGTAGTTTTTGGCCTCTGACTCATCTTTGCCTGGTTTAAAAATGTCTGATCTTAGCCACTATATACTCCTTTAGTACCACACCTGACGAGTGGATATCAGTGAGGTAAGTGGCTAGCCATTATTTTGCTCGTGGTACCAAGTTCTGGATGAATTCTGGTTAGATACCATTGAGGCCTGAGGCTTTACCGGTTTTCATCTGAGCAATCCCAGCATCAACTTCCTCCATTGAGGACGGACTGGAGAAAGCGGAGGTTTGTTGCCAGTGGTCAAGAGCAATATAGTCCTTTGTGTAACCTGCCGTCTTGATCAGCGCTCGTGACTTGCTGATTAGCTGTTCGGCAATGTTGTCAGGGCTGACTTGTGGGATTTGTAGGTTGGCGTGGCTGCTGCTCCCAGCATCCTGAGGAGGCTCCAGGCTTTGCGGCATGATTTCGTCAAGTTGGGCACCTCTAATGTTTCACACCACCTTTGACTTCTTGCAAAGTTCGGTGACTCAAGCAAGGCTTTTTCAGTTTAACACGTAGGCTTTGTCGACCAATATCCATATTATTTTTGGTAAAATCGCGTAAATATGAATGTATCATTAAACCTGCCACCACCCTACACCCTATACACTTAGAATACTCCTTATATTATTCATTAATGTATATACATCATGGTGAACTGAATAACCCAATAATAGGTACGGCATATTCTCAGAGTAACATGATCTATTGTAACTTATATGACTACATTAATCCCCCTCTGGTTAGTCATCTAATGGGCTCACTGTGATGACATCACCTTTGCTCTATGACCGACACAGAAGTTCTCCACAATTCTGACTATCGCCTGATGAAGCTGGTTGTAATCACCAGCGAAACGTCACAGTACTTGCTGTAAATGTTGTGGGTTTACTCTGCAACACAACAACCGGTTATTGCTAAACTAGTAACTAATTGGCGCGTTTTGTTTACATGACAAATCCCTTATTGATTGGCTGTGTCGGGTGGAGGCGGGTTAACACATTTTTACGCGATCTAACCACCAAAAAAGCCTTTATTGAGGTAAATGCAAGAAGATTTTTCGTAAACCTCAAAGCGGTGTTGGCCCTGGCGAGGCCAGCGAAGCAGTGGTAGTTGTCTGCACGTGGAGGGATCACTCCAACAGATTCCTCCACGGCCGTGGTGTTCTCAGGTTCCTCCCGCGGATTTGGTGCCGAGCGGATTTGTGAGATCCAAACCTCTCGGTATGGAGCAATTCAGGCGGCCTTTGATGGCCGATTGGAAAGTCCTTTGGGGAAGGTTCTCATTGACGCCATGGAGTTACCATTGCGAGCCTGCGCAATTTAGATTTGAAGTTTTCGTGACTGCAGGGATCCATACTCTCTGGTTCTTTCGGTAAAGTCACGTAGGTATAGATCAGGCATTTAACATTTTGAAAACGTCTATCATCGTGGTGGTTAAGGGGGCCCCAACTCGTAGCTTTGGCCTCCAAGGGGGGGGGGCAAGGCCCCCCTGCCCCCCACCACACTCGTTACTCGACTCGCAAATACGTCTCTGAATGGAACAAACCGCAATTTCCACCACGATCAAACAATCCACCAACAATTAGAAAGCTGCATATCGGTTTGCGTTACATGACAGCTTTCTGATTGAGATGGTCTGGCCTTACCCCCCACCACAAACAAAAAACCACAGTGTGAACGTGAGCCATGTCCAAGACGCCTTTCTCTTTACGCCTTCGTTTTGTTGGTGCTCAACCGAAAAAGCTTGGCATTTGTGGGCATGAGATTCGCTGGAGTTCACTGGATCCCTCGCAATCCCATCCACTGATGATGTGAACCCTCGTTGGAGTCGTCACCAAAACTTTAGAAACCGGTAGTAGCTCCTGCCAGAGTTGTTGCTAGGGTTTACCTCATTCAGAATCAATCAGAAACTTGTATTATCCTGGAGAAATCCGATGAGGGGTGGTCCATAAATTACGTCACACACCTATGAGGGTGGTGGAGGGTCAGACATTTGTGACGATGTATGACGAGGGGGGGGGGGGGTTGAGAAATGTGACGTCACATCAAAATGCGCAAATTTAAATAAATATAAACAATATAATTGTTATAACAACACATTTAGATTAATTTTCATTATTAACTATTTTATTAATTAAATGTACTAAGGTCACCTTTTATTTATTCCATGAAGGAGAATTTTGCTTCTCCATTGAGAGAATGGAGAAGCATACATTTCGTAAATGTTTTGAATGATTATTATTAAACATTTTGATTTTAATTATTCTACCAGGGCTTTTAATTCTGTGGAATGAATATGTGATTATTATAATTGTACTCTCCATTTTGCTTCGTTCTACTACAAAGTTTCAAGTATTTTTTTATAGTTATAATTACTTTTAATATTTTTGAATTACTGTATAAGAGAATTTTAATATAATATTCTGAACATCTGCAGTTTTAGTTAGACGAATATTCTAAAATGAATGTTATGCTAAATTTAAGCTTTCCAACGCCTCCTTTTTAATAAATGTTTTCGCCACGTTAAATACGCACTACAATGACAATAGTTTAAAGTTATTTAAGCATGTTTTATTTTAAAAATTGAAATATGGTTTTGGACGGGGGGGGCAGAGCTTTGTGACGTCATATTTGAGGGTGTCTGACTTTTTGTGAGGCCGTGTGACGAAGGGGGGAGGGGGGATAAAAAATCGGCCAAAACCGCGTGACGTCATTTATGGACGGCCCCTGAGCGTGCAGATCTCTTTCACATGTCGAGGAGTACCATCCAACTGCACCAGCCAATCAGCTTCCAGGATTACAACCCTATTCAACATGGCCCCCTTGTTGTTCACCCCTGCAACATGGCCGCCTTGTAATTCCCCACGCAACATGGCCGCCTTATCGTTCCCTACGCAACATGGCCGCCTTGTCATTCCCCACGCAACATGGCCGCCTTATCGTTCCCTACGCAACATGGCCGCCTTGTAATTCCCCACGCAACATGGCCGCCTTATCGTTGCCTACGCAACATGGCGTCCCCCATCGTGTTGGATGCAACCACATTTTACAAATGTGATTTGTAACTTTGATCCGTACCCAGGGACTGATAGTTCAACTTTTAATCTGCAATTTTAATGAGGGACTATTGAGTGTGGTCATGGTGTGGTCTGGGACTGTTTTATTTTACTGCCTTGCCCAAACTTGCATTTGGCGTTGAATTTATGTACTTATGCATTTTTTTTCTGCTACACTTCATTTCTTTTTACTTTCACTAAGCGACTTGCTTATACTTTCTCTACTTCGCACTCCTATCGCTCGTATTGTTTATTGTAACGTTCTTAACCTGTGCCTATACGCGACATCTGTGAAAAAGAGCTTTATAGCTCATCAGATTCCTCCAGTAATATAAAAAAACATATAATTCCAGAAACATGCGTTTAAATTATTTACATTATTTGTCTGCTATTAATTTCTACGCGATAAAAGCCCAATCTAGATGTGAAAGAGCCAAAGAGTATGATAAAAGCCCACTTCGTTGAGCTATCATTTGTGATAGCGTCTGTAAAAATTAACCCGTAAAAACAAAGTTTTTCACTATAAATCCTTTATATGCGTGGCATCGGTTTTATTTTATTATTCATTTCTGTTTTTCTTGAGTAAGAGTTTCATTTTTATCACATTGGTATTTTTAATTAAATATGAAATCTTTTTTTTTCCTAAAAAGTGGAAAAAAATTGAATTTTTTTTTTCCACAAAAATAAATGGTCACGCACAACGAGTCTGTGTGCAAAATGTCAGCTCGATTGGATCACGGGAAGTGGGTTAAAAAACGACCGAAAGATTTGCACGGTCATAAGCAAGCAAGCGAACTTAATATAAAGGATTTAAAAACAGAGCCGGACACCTGGTAAGATAAACAAGTAATATTTAAAAACACTTTTTTTTACGCGCTTTTATGAAATGTACTAGTATAGTAATGGAAGAACTCCACGACTTCAGGAAGTGGCCCCGAAGCTTGCCATAACGTAAGGGACCAGTGGCTAATTACAGCCAATGTCAGTTGAGCGTGGACAATCAGACCCAAGCCGAAAACATAATATATAAAAAATAATGTTTAAAAATATTTATTTTATAATAGAATATAGCATTGTCATCAGAATGACATAAGTATACCAAGTTTGCAGTCGATACCACATTGGGAAGTGGGTTACAATTGAGTTACAAGATTTGAGGATACAACAAGGACAACCACAACAACAGTGAGTTAAATTAAAGCGTGTAATAATAATAATTGTTAAATATCGATTTAAAGCTTTCGTGACTGCAGGGATTCATCTTCTTGGTTCTTTCGGTAAAGTCACATAGAACGGAAGTAATAAAATAATAATTACTTCCCTTCTACGTGACTTTACCGAAAGAACCAAGAAGATGAATTGTTAAATAGTTTTGAGAAAATCCACACAACCACTCTCCCCTATCACTCTCCCCTGCCTCTCCCAATCTCTTCTCCCCACCCCACTCACTCACCCACCACTCACTCACTCACTCCCCACTCACTCACCCACCACCCACCCACCCACTCACCCACCCACCAACCCACTCACCCACTCACTCACCCACCCACTCACCCCCCACTCACCCACCCACTCACGCACTCACCCACTCACCCACCCACTCACCCACTCACCCACTCACTCACCCCCCACTCACCCACCCACTCACGCATTCACCCACTCACCCACTCACTCACCCACCCACTCACCCACTCACTGACCCACCCACTCACCCACCCACTCACGCACTCACCCACTCACCCACTCACCCCCCACTCACCCACCCACTCACGCACTCACCCACCCACTCACGCACTCACCCACTCACTCACCCACTCACTGACCCACTCACTCACCCCCCACTCACCCACCCACTCACGCACTCACCCACTCACTCACCCACTCACTGACCCACTCACTCACCCCCCACTCACCCACCCACTCACGCACTCACCCACTCACTCACCACTCACTGACCCACTCACTCACCCCCCACTCACCCACCCACTCACGCACTCACCCACTCACTCACCCACTCACTGACCCACTCACTCACCCCCCACTCACCCACCCACTCACGCACTCACCCACTCACCTACTCACTCACCACTCACTGACCCACTCACTCACCCCCCACTCACCCACCCACTCACGCACTCACCCACTCACTCAACCACTCACTGACCCACTCACTCACCCCCCACTCACCCACTCACTCACTCACCCACTAACTCACTGACCCACCCACTCACCCACCCACTCCCTCCCCACTCTCTCCTCCCACCCCCACTCCCTTCCCCTCCCTATCTCCCCCCCCACTCTCGCCTCCCTCTCCCCTCCCTCTCCCCTCCTCCTTCCTTTGCATTTCGGCAGCAGGCCGTGGTGGTCGTGGCAGCGAGAGTCCTCTGTAAAGCCATCGTGTGAGTATCATCATCATCACCACGACCATCATCACCACCACCATCATCACCACCACCATCACCACCACCACCAACCACCACGACCATCACCACCACGACCATCATCACCACGACCATCACCACCACCACAAAGATCCCTCGTGTAGCCTTAATATACTTTAGGGGCAAGTGCTGTTAGCGAGCAGCACCTATAAAGGCGGGCACGGCACACGAGGGGGTTGGGTGGGTGGCCAGCACCCCGCGCGACCGCCTTTGTCTCCCCAGTGGCGATGTTTACGCACCGCACCAGGTACTCATTTGAGGCTGAGTCGACCTAGGGGAGGCCCAGGAACGCCTGGTTCGTAGCTAACCGCTACACTACCGCTCCCCATACCATCACTTTCCACTTCGCCATCACTCATCACCACCATCATCATCATCTACATCATTAATCGGCAACTGCACGAATGCATTAACCAATATCTCTGCATTGATCGATCATCAGCGGCCTCAATGGGAACCAACATCATCGATCGATCATCAGCGGCCTCTGCTTAAATGGGAACCAACATCACCACCACCATCATCATCATCATGGATACATCGTCACCATCAACAATAGTAATCGCTGCTCACACTGCGCGTCTAACATCGCGACGACTCGTGCTGTTATTGTTGTTGTTGTGGTGTTACTGTTGTTGTTGTGGTGTTACTGTTGTTGTTGTGGTGTTACTGTTGTTGTGGTGTTACTGTTGTTGTGGTGTTACTGTTGTTGTTGTGGTGTTACTGTTGTTGTGGTGTTACTGTTGTTGTGGTGTTACTGTTGTTGTTGTTGTGGTGTTACTGTTGTTGTTGTTGTGGTGTTACTGTTGTTGTGGTGTTGTTGTTGTGGTGTTACTGTTGTTGTGGTGGTGTTACTGTTGTGGTGTTGTGCTGTTACTGTTCTTGTTGTTGTGGTGTTACTGTTGTTGTTGTGGTGTTACTGTTGTTGTTGTGGTGTTGTTATGGTATTACTGTTGTTGTGGTGTTACTGTTGTTGTGGTGTTGTGGTGTTACTGTTGTTGTTGTTGTGGTGTTACTGTTGTTGTGGTGTTATTGTTGTTGTTGTGGTGTTACTGTTGTTGTTGTGGTGTTGTTATGGTGTTACTGTTGTTGTTGTGGTGTTGTTGTGGTGTTACTGTTGTGGTGTTGACCTTTCGCATGCTCCGTGCGTAGCCGACCGCGCAAATTTTTTCTTCTTCAAAAAGTTCGCCGCGAATAAAATCTCGCCGGGTTTTGTTTGACAACGACGATGCGACTCGTTGATTGTTAAATATAAATTTGAAAAGATTGTCGATTTTAACTTTTAACAATCATTGTAACACTTTATCTCCTGAAGACCACGTGGAGAGATTCAACACAAACCCCGAGGCCCCCGTGCGCGGGTTAAGACGAGATGAACAATGTTTCTACAAATTCACCGCGAATTAACAATAATCTTGAGCGGCTGCCGATGTTTATAAAGTAACGCAAGTTATATTACTTATTTATTTTAACTTCAGAAGTTAAAGATGCGGTTCAGCCGCGAAGAAGCCTGCGGCCTAAAGCCTTCCCCAGGCCCGCGGCCCGCAATATAATGTTTAAATAATGTTTAAACATCTTCTTGGTTCTTTCGGTAAAGTCGCGTAGAAGGGAAATAATAAAATAATAAAAATACAACATAATATACAATTCTTGCATTGTATTTTGTTATGTTTTATTTTTATTATTTCCCTTCTACGTGACTTTAACGAATAAACCAAGACGATGAATCCCTGCAGTCACGAAAGCTTTAAATCGAAATATTTAAACATCTTAAAACTAATTCCTCTTGGTTTTTCAATTCGCTCAAGTTAATGCATTGTGAGGGTGCCTTCAGAAAAGTGATTTTTTTCATCGTTAAAACGTGGATTAATTTAAAGGTTTATGTGAAGTGCCTTTAACTTATATTACAATGCGTTTTCGTGCAAGCGCATTTAAATATATGGTAGATATTCGATAATCAATATGTAGACTGCTGCAGGAGGAATCCGATGAGCTATAAAGCTCTTCTTGGAGGGGCACGGGGTTACAACAAGACAAAGATCCCCCATGTAGCCTTGATAGACTGTAGGGGCAAGTGCTGTTAGCGAGCAGCACCACGCCCGGCCGCCTTTGTCTCCCCAGTGGCGATGCTGACACCGCACGAGGTACTCGTTTGAGGCTGAGTCGACCTAGGGGAGGCCCATGACCGCTTCAGGTAGTCGTCACTGGTGGTGTTGGCCGTGACGGGGAATTGAACCAGGGTGGCCAGGTTCGTAGCGCAGCGCGCTGACCGCTACACCACCGCTCCCCAGACAGTACACAGAAACACGACAGTAGTGAGAAGTCTAACAAAGGTGAACACATCACACAAACACAGATACAACTAAACCAGCGGTCGGGAACCTATGGCTCGCGAGCCATATATGGCTCTTCCAGTGACGGCATATGGCTCCCAGACAATTTTGAGTTGAAAAAATAATAAAAAAAAATGATAAAAATCTGTTTGGAACTGATTTTAAAATACTTGTGATATTACTTAATAATACTGTGTCATTTTAAAGTGAACAGAAATTAGTTTTGAAGATAAATTTCATGGGTCACGCCTGCATGAAGCTCAACCTCACCACGTATGAACCAGACTACAAGGCCATCAGCAAAACTATGCAGCACCAGACGTCGCATTAAAAGTAAGACATTTAATTTATTATACTTAAAAAATACTATATGGCTCTCAATGAAATATATTTAGAAGTATTTGGCTTTTATGGCTCTCCCAGTCAAAAAGGTTCCCGACGCCTGAACTAAACCATGCACATCCTACCCAGGCAAAGCTTTGGCCAGAAATGATAGCCGCTCAAGAAATTGGGCCCATCGTTTGGTCGTTTATAGCAGCAAAATCACGAAAATAATCTCAATTTCATGTTTCTAAATGTGTGTGTGGGGGGGGAGGGACCCAGGAGGCCTGGAGAAAAAATCCACGCGACCACGGGAAGAGAGAGACGCGCAAACTCCAAATATACAGCAGGCGTCAGGGTCGGGATCGAACCCACGACCTCCTGTAATCCAGGCGAGGTAGTTAACATCTCCTAGCCACCGTGATATTTTACAACAGGCGTCAGGGTCGGGATCAAACCCACGACCTCCTATAAACCAGGCGAGGTAGTTAACATCGCCTAGCCACCGTGATACTTTACAACAGGCGTCAGGGTCGGGATCGAACCCATGACCTGTAAACCAGGCGAGGTAAAGCTTTCGTGACTGCAGGGATTCATCTTCTTGGTTCTTTCGGTAAAGTCACGTAGAAGGGAAGTAATAAAATAATAAAAATTAAACATAATAAAATAATTCTCACGACGTTTCGGCCACAACGCCGAAACGTCGTGAGAATTATTTTATTATGTTTTATTTTTATTATTTTATTACTTCCCTTCTACGTGACTTTACCGAAAGAACCAAGAAGACAGGCGAGGTAGTTAACATCTAGCCACCGTGGTGCACCTTAAAATAAAGAAAATATGCAAGTTCAAATTGCATTGTGAATTCCAAAGCGTTGGAGAGGCAGTAAAACAAGTCAATAGAACAATAGCAAATTCGTGAAGAACAACTGTGCCACCTTAGCGGTGAAAAAAAAATAAACGTTTGCGGCTTTTGCTTTGAAATAGAATTAAATGTTTTTTTCTGATCGTAACATTTATATTTGTTTTATTCTCATTAGGCTCCATGTTGTAAAGTTCAGTCTACAACTCGTATTATCTACGTTAGCCTCTATTCATGTACTATGAATAAGGGCCGTTTCCCGAAACGTCGCCTGTTATGTAAAACTAAAACTATTTTCCTAAACTATGTTTTTAATTTTACCAGGTAAGGCCACACTTGAGCTGTGTAGTAGATCTTTTGTCAGAAGCGACCTGGTCATCACAGATGATATTTCAACGTATTGGGGCTTTTCATCATCATGTGGACATTTATAGCAGCAGCCAAATCCTCTAAACGCATAGAGACCCATAGAAATGTATAGACTCACGGAGCTATGTAGTTAATTTCAGAAGCGACCTGCCCATCACAAGATGATAGCTCAACGAAGTTGGCTTATTATCACATGGAAGTCTATAGCAGCATTCAAGCTCTCAATGGATGATTTTTATTCAAGATGTGGAGTAAAAACCAGAGATACCCGGAGAAAAATCCACGTGACCACAGAGAGAGAGAGACGCGCAGACTCCAAATATACAGCAGGCGTCAGGGTCGGGATCGAACCCACAACCTCCTGTATACCAGGCAATGTAGTTAACATCTCCTAGTCACCATGACATACAGTGCATACTTTACTCCATACTTTGTCTATACTTTCCCTTTGAGGCTGCACGTCCACACAGGGTTATCAGTGATTGTGTTGAGTGTTGTTTGATTAGGTCTTTGCACCACTGCCACCACAGCAGCATCCGAACATTCGTTTTAACAGTTGACTGGCAGGTCACACGTGTGGTGCGAAAAAGTGTTGGTATACGTAGAATTATCTCGTTATTCACGAAATCGCTATCCACGATTCTGGCTGTCTGCGAATGGCATATGTAAGCCTACACGACCACTGCATCGAGAGAGATAAAGTGATGACGGGATAAAGTGATGCAAGAAAGTGGAGAGATGAAGTTATGAGAAATAAGTGATGCTAGGCAGAGAGAACTTCTAGAAGATTTAGAAGCATCTGCAGATGCTGCGCTATATGGTACTCGTAGGACCAAATATCATCTGCGACATTTGTTATTCACGTGCGTCTCCGGAGCGTATACCGTATCGCGAGTAACCAGGGAATACTTCTAACTCGCATTTTCAAAGACACCTGCTCTCATCTGGCCTAAAAGAGTGGACTAATTACCAACGGAACAAAAACGCACATCGCCAAATAGAAATATGAACGGGAACACGAACAACCAAATGGATCCATATTTGAAGTTTTCGTCACTGTAGGGATCTATACTCTTTGGTTCTTTCGGTAAAGTCACGTAGGTATAAATAAATTAAACCACGACGTTTCGGGCGCAACACAAGGGTCCATCATCAGGTGGGACAACCACAGCAAGAAACAATTGCTGTAGTTGTTTCAGCAATTGTTTCTTGCTGTGGTTTTCCCACCCGATGACGGACACTTGTGTTGCGCCCGAAACGTCGTGATTTAATTTATTTTATACCTACGTGACTTTACCGACAGAACCGAAGGGTATGGATCCATAAGGTTTTTTTGGGTTAGATCTCGTAAATATAAATGTAATTAAACCGGACACCACCCGATAGCTAATTAGCAAGGTTTGTCACGAAAACAAAAGATGCCAATTTGTTACGAGTACAGCGAACCGGTTGTGTGTTGGAGAGTAAACCCACTCCCAACATTTACAATTCGAGTAACGTTTCGCCAGTAATTACATGAAACAGTATCATCAGGCAACAGCCAGAGTTGTGGAGAAATCCTGTTTTGGTCTTAAATAGAGGGATAAAGCCTGCATGTTAAATTAACCCAATGGAAATTTGAGCAAACTACAAGCAAATAGAAATCGGCTCCAATGTTATGTTGCGAAAGAAACCTAAACAATTGCGCGCAAACAAACTTATATAAAATACATTCCTCGTTATTACAATTGGCCATGGCATGAATGACTTTAAAATCGTCGAGTTTTAATTTCGTCGCAGACAACACCGAAAATGGAAATCTGGCGATTATTGCAAAATAATGCGAACCAACGAGCGGGATTTACATTAAAATATTCCTCGTCGGTTTACACTTACAGCAACATCGTGCCCCAGCTATGAAACCACTGCAGAGACCATTATTTGTGGTTCCTCGCAGCTTCGAAAGCGCCTACGTTTGATTGCCTGCCGTTGGGTGCCTTTTTCAGTGGAGTTTTTATTTTCTCCCTCCGTTGTTCCGGCGTGGGTTTTCGACGGGAGCAACAAATCTCCTCCCATAGCTAATAGCAACGTAACCCCGCGCGATGTAACTTGTATTGACCAAAACGTCCCTATCCTGAAAAATTCCTGCGAAGTGACTCGATTCAGATGTTTTTTTATACATCTCTTGGGCATCACAAATGATAGCCCAAAGAAGTGGCTTAGACTTTGAAAAGTCTAGACTTGGTAAGGCTTTGCTAGGTCAACGTGCGTAATACATATTAAACACAGCAGAGCTTTGGTGATAGCCTTGGGGCATTAACAGGACCCTGCGGGGTGGGCTGGTAGGAACGAATAACCAAAGAATATTAACATAATGTATTATTACACTTGTTTAGACAGGAAAGCCCCACTGAGTCTAAAGGTTTTTGTAGGGTCCTGCCAAGTGTTTGCAGTAGGGGGCGATGTTGCTACACCGAATCGGACGATACGAAGGGAGAGTGTGAGGCCTACTTCTAGGCTTTAGGCCTAGCTGTAGGCTTTAGGCCGCCGTGAGTTAATTTTAAATTTAAATGTTTTTATTATTTATGTAAAAGCTTTAAATTTAAATGTTTCTATTTAAAAGCATCAGGGAATGTAACATTGTTAAACATTAACTCCCTTGCACACACGCGGGGGTAAGATACGAAGGGAGACTTTGAGGCCTAGTTCTAGGCTTTAGGCCTAGCTGCAGGCTTTAGGGCGCTGTGAGTTTTTTTATTTAATTTCAAAGTTTTAATTAAAAGCCATCTCAGGGAATTATAAGGGAATGTTACACGTGTTTAGCCAGGAAAGCCTCATTAATTTAAATGTTTTAATTAAAAGCTATCTGAGGGAATTATAAGGGAATGTTACACTTGTTTAGCCAGGAAAGCCTCACAGAGTCTAAAGGTTTTTGTAGGGTCATGCCAAGTGTTTTCAGTAGGGGGAGATGTTGCTACACGTTATCGGACATCGGACGGACGGACGAAATAATCTATTGTAGGCTGGTCCACTTCGTTCCTACCAGTAACAGGGTGATTATAAGCAGGGCTTTCTACCCAACTAGCTTTACTACCCGGCTTCGGCCAGGACTTGGATTCACCACGCCCTGGCTGCCTTTGTCCCCCCAGTGGCGATGTTGACACAAAACACCATTTACTCGTTTGAGGCTGAGTCGACCTAGGGGAGGCCCAGGACCGGTTCAAATAATCGTCACCGGTGGTGGCCGTGAGCGGGAATCGAACTTGGGTCGCCGGGTTCGTAGCGCAGCGCGTTAACCACTACACTACAATGCGTTACGCTTCCACATGCGCGGGTCACATGACAGATTTGACGTCACAGCTCACTTGCCGTGCAAAAAATATATGCATTATTGAGGCCCCCCCCCCCCAAAAAAAAAATAATTGTGCTTTTTTGCATGGTGTACAGTCTGGAAAGTACCCACATGGCAAATTTCAAGTTTGTTGCATGTCGGGAAGTACACTAAACATTTTGAACAGACACACATAATCACAACTTTGCTTTTTATATATATATGGAGATGGAGATAAGCAGGGTAGAAAGCCACTGGATCTAGATTCAAAACTAATTTAATTTAAACAGCTTTTTGTGTTTATTTTGTTCTTCCCCTGCACCTCTGATGAGCATTGTTGGCTATGTACAATGGCGTGAATATCGCATGTACCAATTTTTTTTTATCATATTGGCATCAGAAGTGCCGTTGGCTGCCTTGGTGGCTGTGTCCTCTGCCACCCTCCTTGTTTTGCGATGGCGTGCTGATTTCATACGCAACCGTTGCGAATGCTGAAACGTTTCCGCAGTGCACTGAGCATCACAAGGGCAGAGTAGCCAATGCATCTGGGGCCACCACACGGATAGTATGGTATCAAAAGTCCTCGATGTTATGTCCGTGCATTACGCATCCCTTTTTAGAGCCCTGCCTTAATACAGACCAATTCAGGCCTCATTGGTCACGCTGTGCCCTTATAAATCTCAACGTTCATCCTACAAAGTCCCATCACAAGAGAGAAACACAAATAAATAGACAAAAAAATAATGTTGGCCCGTATTTGAACGGCCGTACGCTGTATGGATGCTGATAACTCAATTTCCCATGTACAAGCATATGGGTTAACCTCATGGGTTGACAGGTATTAATACGATATTCTCAATTTTTCACGTGATGCTGCTTTGGCTCCCAATTTATGTTTGCTTTCAGTGTTTGGTGCACTTGATTTGGTTTGGGTTTTATTGTTTTGGTGACTCAGTTGACTGACAAATGAGACTCATCCTTGTCTCTTGGGGTTGTCACCCGGTTTAGAAAAAAATCAACTCGGGAAGTGATTTTCCTGCTCAAACTAGCATTTAGACAGTGGTGCTCATCATGTGGGTGTCACGGTGGCTAGGATATGTTAACTGCCTCGCCCAGTATACAGGAGGATCGTGGGTTCGATCCTGATCGCTGCTGTATATTTTGAGCTTGCATGTCTCTCCCAGTGGTCGCGTGGATTTTTGTCCCGGTCCTCCGGTTTTAGTCCTCCACATTTAGAATGAACATGCGTTGTTTGTGTCTTATCATGTGGAAATATATAGCAGCCAAATAATCTAAATGCACGTTTCAAAATGTGGAGGAAAAAAACGAAGGACCCGGAGACAAATCCACACGACCACTGGGAGAGAGACATACAAACTCCAAATATACAGCAGAAGTCAGCGTCGGGATGGAACCCACAGCCTCCCGCATACCAGGCGAGGTAGTTAACATCTAGCCACCGAGGTTGCGTTGTTATTGGGGAGTTGCCCTGAATGGAGAAAGTGTCCAACTTGCTCTGTCGACTGCTGGATGAAGGCCTCTCCCAGGTGCCACGACCATCTTGACGTGACCATAAAAAAACCCTCCCCCCGCCCACCCTCCAATAAGTGTTGCCTTTTGCAGAAAACGCCGCACTGATGGATTCGCCGATGGCGATGGGAGAAGATGAACGGAGATGGAAGCGAGGAGGCATGGCAGAGGAAGCCTGCGGTGGTCTTTCCGTGGCGGGTGAGATGTGGTTAGTGACTATAGGTAGTGGTTACGATGATAGCTGTAGAAGTCGTAACTATAAAAGTTACAGAAGCTGCAGTATATGTTGTAGCAGCAGGAGCCACATGATGAGAGAGATGAGTTGCGGATCGCTGAGCGAATGTCGACCCAACATCTATCACCCCTCTCTGATGGCTCCTCAACTCCCCAACGACGGGGAGACAAAGGCGGCCGGGTTTCGTGCTGACCACCAACCCCCTTTCATGTGCCACAGTGCCGGCCTTCATAGGCGTCGCTCGCTAACAGCACTTGCCCCCAACAGTCTCTTAAGGCTAGACATGGGATATACGGGTGATCTGTCATTAATTGTGTCTCTGCGTGTCTCTGCGTGTATAAACAGGCAGGTGAAAGTGACGTCAAGACTCGTGGCAACATCCTCCTGAGAAGTCATCACCGAGTATGCAGACCCGCAGGTTTGTGTGTGCAGTATATGGGTTGGCACAGTAGGGGGCATAGGTGGTACATCTGCGTCATCTCAGTCAACCTATGGCACCTGGGTCTGTCCTCCCGACGCTTCACGTGACCTTAGAGTGCACATAGCTTGGCACAAGCGCCTTGGTGACGTCACCGCCACTTAGTGACGAATGGCGGCTGTTGTTTTCTGTGTCATTGAGTATCTGTCTGTGAGTGATGGTGCTGGTTGTCGTCGCTGGGCTGTGATGAGCCAAGAGGTCAGGCTAGAGTCTCTGAGTCTCCCTGACGACAAATTGACCCACTGAGCCCAGCGACGCAGTGAGACTCGGAGAGAGCGAGTGGTGGTATGCCGGCTGCATCTCTGTGTGTGTGTGTGCGTCGATGTGTAGGGAGCGGTAGTGTAGGGAGTGGTATTGTAGTAGCGTTTAGCACACTGCGCTACAAACCCGGCGATCAGAGTTCGATTCCCAATCACGGCCAACACCGGTGACGATCATCTGAACTGGTCCTGAGCCTCCCCTAGGTCGACTCAGCCTCAAATGAGTACCTGATGCAGTGTGTAAACATCGCCACCGTAGAGACAAAGGCGGCCGGGTATGATGTTGGCCACCCACCCCCTTGTGTGCCGTGCCGGCCTTCAACGGCGCTGCTCGCTAACAGCACTTCCCCCAACAGTCTGTTAAAGGTATACGGGTGATCTCTATCATTAAGTGTGTCTCTGCGTGTGTCAACAAGCAGGTGAAAGTGGCGCCAAGACTCATGGCAACATCCTCCTGAGAAGTCTTCACGGAATACGCAGACCCGCAGGTTTGTGTGTGCAGTATATGCGTTGGCACAGTAGGGGGCATAGGTGGTGCATCTGCAACTCATCTCAGTAAACTTATGGCACAACCGCCGTTGTGATGTCACCGCTACTTAGTGGCGAATGGCGGCTGTTGTTTTCTGTGTCTGAGATTCTATTTCTGTAAGTGTCTGTGAGTGATGGTGATGGTTGTCACTGGGCTGTGATGAGCCAAGAGGTCAGGCTAGAGTCTCTGAGTCTCCCTGACGATAAGTCGACCCACTGAGCCCAGTGTCACAGTGAGACTCGGAGAGCGAGTGTGGTGGTATGGCTGTGGTAGCTGTGTGTCTGTGTGTGGGCAATGGTTAGCGCGCACCGCACTACGAACCCAGCGACCAGAGATCGATTCCCACTCATAACCAACATCAGTGACAAACATGGATTAGTCCAGAGCCTCCCCTAGATCGACTTGGCCTAAAATGGGTACCTGGTGTGGTCTGTAAAGATCACTGGAGAGACAGTGGCAAACCAGGTATGGTGCTTGCTACACAATGCACTCATAGGTGCTTGCTAAGAGCACTTCCACCAAGATTCTCTCAGGCTATACGTGGCATCAGTGTATTTTGTGTGTGTGGGTCTGTGTGTGTGTATGTTGACGTCTGTGTATGTGTTAGTGTATGTGTGGAGCGGTGGCGCAGTGATAAAGGTCACTCGCTTTGCTACGAACCCGGCAGCCCAAGTTGGATTTCAGCTCACGACCTAAACCAGTGACGATTATCTGAAGCAGTGCGGGGCCTCCTCTAGGTCGACTTGGCCTCGAACTAGTACCTATTGCGATGCGTAGACATCATCGCTCGGGAGACGGAGGTGGTTTGGCGTGGTGCTGGCCACCCACCCCCTTGAGTGCTCCAGTGCCGGCCTTCACAGGTGCTCGGTAACAGAGCTCTCCCAACAGTCTGTTCAGGCTATACATAGAGGGATCTTTGTCTTTTTGAGTGTGAATTTATTGGCACAGTGGGGAGGAGCACAGGTGGTGCATCTGCCAGTAATTTGCTTCTGCAGCCGTGACTCTTAAACACAAGCTCTACGCGTCTTTCTCTCTGTGTCTGCAGGGTCCCCATTAGCTCGCAGGACGAGGAGGAGGTGGGATGCTTCATTCACCTGCCCATTCACCTCCCCACCCTAACAGGTACAACGACGTTCGATCGAACTACGCTGGCTCTGACGACATAATTTGATCGCTCCGGTGGTTATCACTTCTATATCAGCTGCTGTCGCAGCAGGAGCCACATGATGAGAGAGATGCGTTGCGGATCGCTGAGCGAATGTCGACCCAACATCTATCACCCCTGTCTGATGGCTCCTCAACCCCCCAACGACGGGGAGACAAAGGCGGTCGGGTGTCGTGCTGACCACCAACCCCCTTTCATGTGCCACAGTGCCGGCCTTCATAGGCGTCGCTTGCTAACAACACTTGTCCCCAACAGTCTGTTAAGGCTATACATGGGATATACGGGTGATCTCTGTCATTAATTGTGTCTCTGCGTGTCTCTGCGTGTATAAACAGACAGGTGAAATTGACGTCAAGACTCGTGGCAACATCCTCCTGAGAAGTCATCACCGAGTACGCAGACCCGCAGGTTTGTGTGTGTTAGTATGTGGGTTGGCACAGTAGGGAGCATAGGTGGTGCATCTGCGTCATCTCAGTCAACCTATGGCACCTGGGTCTGTCCTTCCGACACTTCACGTGACCTTAGAGTGCACATAGCCTGGCACAAGCGCCTTGGTGACGTCACCGCCACGTAGTGGCGAATGGCGGCTGTTGTTTTCTGTGAGTGTCTGAGTGATAGTGCTGGTCGTCGCTGGGCTGTGATGAGCCAAGAGGTCAGGCTAGAGTCTCTGAGTCTCCCTGACGACAAATTGACCCACTGAGCCCAGCGACGCAGTGAGACTCGGAGAGAGCGAGTGGTGGTATGCCGGCTGCATCTGTGTGTGTGTGTGCATCGATGTGTAGGGAGCGGTAGTATAGAGAGTGGTATTGTAATAGCGGTTAGTGCACTGCGCTACAAACCCGGCGATCAGAGTTCGATTCCCATTCACGGCCAACACCGGTGACGATCATCTGAACTGGTCCTGAGCCTCCCCTAAGTCGACTCAGCCTCAAATGAGTACCTGGTGTGGTGTGTAAACATCGCCACCTTAGAGACAAAGGCAGCCGGTATGTGATGTTGGCCACCCACCCCCTTGTGTGCCGTGCCGGCCTTCAACGGCGCTGCTCGCTAACAGCACTTCCCCCAACAGTCTGTTAAAGGTATACGGGTGATCTCTGTCATTAAGTGTGTCTCTGCGTGTCTCTGCGTGTGTAAACAAGCAGGTGAAAGTGGCGCCAAGACTCATGGAAACATCCTCCTGAGAAGTCTTAATGGAGTACGCAGACCTGCAGGTTTGTGTGTGTGCAGTATATGGGTTGGCACAGTAGGGGGCATAGGTGGTGCATCTGCCACTCATCTCAGTAAACTTATGGCACCTGGGTCTGACCCATGACCTCCCGACACTTCACGTGACCTTAGAGTGCACATAGCCTGGCACAAGCGCCGTGGTGACGTCACCGCCACTTAGTGGCGAATGGCGGCTGTTGTTTTCTGTCTGTGAGATTCTATTTCTGTGAGTGTCTGTGAGTGATGGTGCTGGTCGTCACTGGGCTGTGATGAGCCAAGAGGTCAGGCTAGAGTCTCTGAGTCTCCCTGACGACAAGTCGACCCACTGAGCCCAGTGACACAGTGAGACTCGGAGAGCGAGTGTGGTGGCATGGCTTTGGTAGCTGTGTGTCTGTGTGTCTGTGTGTGTGAGGAGCGGTAGGACAACGGTTGGCACTCACCGCACTATGAACCCAGCGACCAGAGATCGATTCCCACTCATTATAACTAACTTCCGTGACAGACATATGGATTAGTCCTGAGCCTCCCCTAGGTCGACTCGACTTAAAATGGGTACCTGGTGTGGTCTGTAAAGATCACTGGAGAAACGGTGGCAAACCAGGTATGGTGCTGGCTACACAATGCACTCATAGGTGCTTGCTAAGAGCACTTGCACCAAGATTCTCTCCAGGCTATACGTGGTATCAGTGTATTTTGTATATGTGTGTGTGGGTCTGTGTTTTTGTGTGTATGTTGACGTCTGTGTATGTGTGTGTGTATGTGTGGAGCGGTGGCGCAGTGATAAAGGTCACTTGCTGTGCTACGAACCCGGCAGCCCGAGTTGGATTCCTGCTCACGACCAACACCAGTGACGATTTTCTGAAGCAGTGCGGGGCCTCCTCTAGGTCGACTTGGCCTCGAATTAGTACCTATTGCGATGCGTAGACATCTTCGCTCGGGAGACAGAGGTGGTTTGGCGTGGTGCTGGCCACCCACCCCCTTGAGTGCTACAGTGCCGGCCTTCACAGGTGCTCGGTAACAGAACTCTCTCCCAACAGTCTGTTCAGGCTGTACATAGAGGGATCTTTGTCTTTTTGAGTGTGAATTTATTGGCACAGTGGGGAGGAGCACAGGTGGTGCATCTGCCAGTCTTTTGCTTCTGCAGCCGTGACTCTTAAACACAAACTCTATGCGTCTTTCTCTCTGTGTCTGCAGGGTCCCCATTAGCTCGCAGGACGAGGAGGTGGTGGGACGCTTCATTCACCTGCCCATTCACCTCCCCACCCTAACAGGTACAACGACGTTCGATCGAACTACGCTGGCTCTGACGACATAATTTGATCGCTCCGGTGGTTATCACTTCTATATCAGCTGCTGTCGCAGCAGGAGCCACATGATGAGAGAGATGAGTTGCGGATCGCTGAGCGAATGTCGACCCAACATCTATCACCCCTGTCTGATGGCTCCTCAACCCCCCAACGACAGGGAGACAAAGGCGTCCGGGTGTCGTGCTGACCACCAACCCCCTTTCATGTGCCACAGTGCCGGCCTTCATAGGCGTCGCTTGCTAACAACACTTGTCCCCAACAGTCTCTTAAGGCTATACATGGGATATACGGGTGATCTCTGTCATTAATTGTGTCTCTGCGTGTCTCTGCGTGTATAAACAGACAGGTGAAATTGACGTCAAGACTCGTGGCAACATCCTCCTGAGAAGTCATCACCGAGTACGCAGACCCGCAGGTTTGTGTGTGTTAGTATGTGGGTTGGCACAGTAGGGGGCATAGGTGGTGCATCTGCGTCATCTCAGTCAACCTATGGCACCTGGGTCTGTCCTCCCGACACTTCACGTGACCTTAGAGTGCACATAGCCTGGCACAAGCGCCTTGGTGACGTCACCGCCACGTAGTGGCGAATGGCGGCTGTTGTTGTTTTCTGTGAGTGTCTGAGTGATGGTGCTGGTTGTCGCTGGGCTGTGATGAGCCAAGAGGTCAGGCTAGAGTCTCTGAGTCTCCCTGACGACAAATTGACCCACTGAGCCCAGCGACGCAGTGAGACTCTGAGAGCGAGTGGTGGTATGCCGGCTGCATCTGTGTGTGTGTGTGCATCGATGTGTAGGGAGCGGTAGTGTAGGGAGTGGTATTGTAGTAGCGTTTAGCACACTGCGCTACAAACCCGGCGATCAGAGTTCGATTCCCAATCACGGCCAACACTGGTGACGATCATCTGAACTGGTCCTGAGCCTCCCCTAGGTCGACTCAGCCTCAAATGAGTACCTGATGCAGTGTGTAAACATCGCCACCGTAGAGACGAAGGCGGCCGGGTATGATGTTGGCCACCCACCCCCTTGTGTGCCGTGCCGGCCTTCAACGGCGCTGCTCGCTAACAGCACTTCCCCCAACAGTCTGTTAAAGGTATACGGGTGATCTCTGTCATTAAGTGTGTCTCTGCGTGTCTCTGCGTGTGTCAACAAGCAGGTGAAAGTGGCGCCAAGACTCATGGCAACATCCTCCTGAGAAGTCTTCACGGAGTACGCAGACCCGCAGGTTTGTGTGTGCAGTATATGCGTTGGCACAGTAGGGGGCATAGGTGGTGCATCTGCAACTCATCTCAGTAAACTTATGGCACAACCGCCGTTGTGATGTCACCGCTACTCAGTGGCGGATGGCGGCTGTTGTTTTCTGTGTCTGAGATTCTATTTCTGTAAGTGTCTGTGAGTGATGGTGATGGTTGTCACTGGGCTGTGATGAGCCAAGAGGTCAGGCTAGAGTCTCTGAGTCTGCTTGACGATAAGTCGACCCACTGAGCTCAGTGACACAGTGAGACTCGGAGAGCGAGTGTGGTGGTATGGCTGTGGTAGCTGTGTGTCTGTGTCTGTGTGTGGGCAATGGTTAGCGCGCACCGCACTACGAACCCAGCGACCAGAGATCGATTCCCACTCATAACCAACATCAGTGACAAACATGGATTAGTCCAGAGCCACCCCTAGATCGACTTGGCCTAAAATGGGTACCTGGTGTGGTCTGTAAAGATCACTGGAGAGACAGTGGCAAACCAGGTATGGTGCTGGCTAGACAATGCACTCATAGGTGCTTGCTAAGAGCACTTCCACCAAGATTCTCTCAGGCTATGCATGGCATCAGTGTATTTTGTATATGTGTGTGTGGATCTTTGTCTTTGTATGTTGACGTCTGTGTATGTGTGTGTGTGGAGCGGTGGCGCAGTGATAAAGGTCACTCGCTGTGCTACGAACCCGGCAGCCCAAGTTGGATTTCTGCTCATGACCTAAACCAGTGACGATTATCTGAAGCAGTGCGGGGCCTCCTCTAGGTCGACTTCGCCTCGAATTATTACCTTTTGCGATGCGTAGACATCATCGCTCGGGAGATGGAGGTGGTTTGGCGTGGTGCTGGCCACCCACCCCCTTGAGTGCTCCAGTCGGCCTTCACAGGTGCTCGGTAACATAACTCTCCAAACAGTCTGTTCAGGCTGTACATAGAGGGATCTTTGTCTTTATGAGTGTGAATGTTTTGGCACAGTGGGGAGGAGCACAGGTAGTGCATCTGCCAGTCATTTGCTTCTGCAGTCGTGACTCTTAAATGCAAGCTCTACACGTATTTCTCTCTGTGTCTACAGGGGGGGGTCCCCATTAGCTCGCAGGACGAGAAGGAGGTCCTCGTGGGACGCATTAATTCGCCTTCCCAGTCGTCCACCCTAACAGGTAAAATGACGTTTGATCGCCGTACGCTCCGGCGGTCATCGCTTCTGTGGCAGCTGCTGTAGCAACAACAGGAGCCACATGATGAGAGAGATGAGTTGCGGATCGCTGAGCGAATGTCGACCCAACATCTATCACCCCTGTCTGATGGCTCCTCAACCTTGCAAAGGCAGGGAGTTGAAAGTGGCCGGGTCGTGGTGCTGGCCAACCACCCCCCTTCATGTGTCACAGTGCCGGCCTTCATAGGCGCTCCTCAAAGACAGCCCTCACCCCGACAGCCTCTGCAGACTTCACAGCTGGGTTGGTGGCGGGGGGGGGGGCTCTGTTTTAGTCTGGAACAAGGCAGTGTGTGTTCTGGTTTTTGAATGGCAATGTAGAAGTCGCAACCAACAAGGGGACTTCAGGATAGGGTTTGTAGTTTTGCGTTCTTCCTCCGTTGCAGGGAGCGCAGACTACGGTGGGTTTGCTGCACGGTCCACTTCATCTGTGTCGAGTGGTGTGGCTTAAGTGACTTAAGTGTGTAGGAGTAAGAGTGTATCAGTTAGCGCGCGTTGCTACAAATTCCTGCAATGGGAGATTATTCCTGCTCACGGCTAACACGAATGACGATTATTTGAACCAGTCCGTGGCCTCTTTTAGGTTGACACGGCCTCTAATGAGTACCCGTTGCAATGTAAACATCATCGCTCTGGAGACGACGGTGGTTGGGCGTGGTGCTGGCCACCCACCCGTTCGTGTGCCCTGCCGGCCTTCATAGGCACTGCTCACTAACAGCACTTACCCCAACAGTCTGTTAAGGCTATGAAGGGGATCTTTGTCTTTAAGTGTGTCTCTGCGTGTCTCTGCATGTATATACAGGCCGGTGAATGTTGCGTTAAGACTCATGGCAACGTCCTGCTGAGGAGTGATGGAGTTCACAGACCCACAGGTTGGTGTGTGTATGTGTACAGGGGTGAGCGTGTGAGTATCTGACTGTGAATATCTGTGTCTGTGAGTATCTGTGTCTGTAAGTGACTGCGGTTGGTCGTCGCTGGGCTATGATGAGCCAAGAGGTCAGGCTAGAGTCTCTGAGTCTCCCTGACGACAAGTCGACCCACTGAGCCCAGTGACGCAGTGAGACTCGGAGCAAGTGTGGTGGTATGTCTTTGGTATTTGTGTATGTGTGTCTGTCTGTGTGGCAGGGAGCGGTAGTGCATTGGCAAACGCAACCGCGCTACGAACCCAGTTACCAGAGCAAGTGCTTAGAGCAGTTATCCTCTCAAGGCTTATACGTAGCATCGATGTGTAGTGGATAATAAACTGGAGGAAGCTTACTCTGAGGCAACACGTTCATTATAACATTAATAGGCTACAACACAAAGGGGTGTAATGGCCCCTTCACCCGATACCATATTGGAAGTAGTCCCTCCAGGCTAACCCGCCTCTTACTGATTACACGACACCTATTCTGACGGAGGCTTGAATCTTCTCTTGGATCTTCACTGGTTATAAGCTCGGAGCTTCACTGGTACAGCTCAAGCTTCACCCGAGCCACGGGTTTAGCTTTGCCCACAAGGCTCTTTTCTCTTCAGGGCTCCAGGTTGGTCTTCAGCCGGACGATACGGAGCTGAGCCGTTCAGGGACCTGGCTTATATAGAGAGTCATGGCTCACACCACCCCTGGCCACGCCTCCCTTCCAGAACCTTCTCCACGGGCCTGGAGAATTACTTCATGCCCCAGCCCCCTCCCGGGGGCCTGGGGTCCGAACCGTTGGTACCGATGCTCCCTCCAGGGATTGCCTAGCGCCAACTGTCCATCATTGCTCTTGCGCAGGTCCGGCCTCCCTTCTGCTCTCTACTGGCCTGAGCTAGTACTGCCGGCTATGAGTAGTACCATGCCACTACAGATGTGTATATATATGTCTGTGTGTTTGTATGTGGTAAGCGGTGGTATATGTCTGTGTGTTTGCATGTGGGAAGCGGTAGTGCAGTGGTAAAGTGCACTCACTGCGCCACGAAACCGGCAGCCCGAGTTGGATTCCTGCTCACCGCCGACAATGCTGATGATTATCTGGGGGCCTCTCGGTAGGCTTGGCCTCGAATGGGTACCTGTTGTGATGCGTAAACATCGCCACTAGGGGAGACTAAGGGAGTTGGGCGTGGCGCTGGCCACCCACCCTGCTTTGTGTGCCACAGTGCCGGCCTTCACAGGTGCTCGGTAACAGCACTTGCTCCCAACAGTGTGCTCAAGGCTATACGGGGAGGGGGATCTTTGTCTTTATGAGTGTGAATGTGTTGGCACAGTGGGGAGGAGCACAGGTGGTGCATCTGCCAATCATTTGCTTCTGCAGTCGTGACTCTTAAATGCAAGCTCTACACGTATTTCTCTCTGTGTCTACAGGGGGGGGTCCCCATTAGCTTGCAGGACGAGAAGGAGGAGGTCGTGGGACGCATTAATTCGCCTTCCCAGTCCACCCTAACAGGTAAAATGACGTTTGATCGCCGTACGCTCCGGCGGTCATCGCTTCTGTGGCAGGTGCTGTAGCAGCAACAGGAGCCACATGATGAGAGAGATGAGTTGCGGATCGCTGAGCGAATGTCGACCCAACATCTATCACCCCTGTCTGATGGCTCCTCATCCTTGCAAAGGCAGGGAGTTGAAAGTGGCCGGGTCGTGGTGCTGGCCACCCACCCCCCTTCATGTGTCACAGTGCCGGCCTTCATAGGCGCTCCTCAAAGACAGCCCTCACCCCGACAGCCTCTGCAGGCTTCACAGGTGGGTTGGTGGTGGCGGGGGGGGAGCTCTGTTTTAGTCTGGAACAAGGCAGTGTGTGTTCTGGTTTTTGAATGGCAATGTACAAGTCGCAACCAACAAGGCGACTTCAGGATAGGGTTTGTAGTTTTGCGTTCTTCCTCCGTTGAAGGGAGCGCAGACTACAGTGGGTTTACTGCACGGTCCACTTCATCTGTGTCGAGTGGTGTGGCTTAAGTGACCTAAGTGTGTGGGAGTGAGAGTGTATCAGCGCGCTTTGCTACAAATTCCTGCAATGGGAGATTATTCCCGCTCACGGCTAACACGAATTACGATTATTTGAACCAGTCCGTGGCCTCTTTTAGGTCGACACGGCCTCTAATGAGTACCCGTTGCGATGTGTAAACATCATCGCTTGGGATACGACGGTGGTCGGGCGTGGTGCTGGCCACCCACCCGTTCGTGTGCCCTGCCGGTCTACATAGGCACTGCTCACTAACAGCACTTACCCCAACAGTCTGTTAAGGCTATGAAGGGGATCTCTGTTTTTAAGTGTGTCTCTGCATGTCTCTGCGTGTATGAACAGGCTGGTGAATGTATTAAGACTCATGGCAACGTCCTACTGAGGAGTGATGGAGTTCACAGACCCACAGGTTGGTGTGTGTATGTGTACGGGGTGAGCGTGTGTGTGTGTGTATTTGTGTCTGTAAGTGACTGCGTTGGTCGTCGCTGGGCTGTGATGAGCCAAGAGGTCAGGCTAGAGTCTCTGAGTCTCCCTGACGACAAGTCGACCCACTGAGCCCAGCGACGCAGTGAGACTTGAGAGACGAGAGAGACGGTGTGAGCGTGCGCATGGTGTGAGAATGTGTATTGGTTAGTGCACTCTTCCATGGCATCCTGAGTATTATCCCCCACCTCACGACCAATAACTTGTGAATATTTTAATTGGTCTTGGGCCCTCCCCTCGGAGGACTCTGCCTTAAATGAGAGGACCTAATGCGGTGTGTTGTGTGTACGGGCAGTGCCCGGGTTACGAAAGACCCGAGTTACGGAAATCCGACTAACGGAAATGCTCCCGTGAAATGCGTAAATGCTTGCATTAGTTAGGGAAGCACAAATAGTGCAGCGCGGCAAGGTTACGGGGGACTGCAGCGGAGCGACGAGGCGTAAGGCGGTGCCACATTCCCCAAGGCGGTGGTATCCTGTCTAGCACCTCTGAGTCGTGCTGTTACATTGTTATCGTGAGTAGGCTCTACCTGCCACATCGTCGCTTTTCCTTTTGTAGCATTACGTAATTGTTTTCTATGCTTCATGGTATGCATAAACAAATGGACACAATAGACTATATGATCCATTAGTTTAATTATGCGTAGTTGTCAGGGTAGATATTCAATCAAATGAAATAATCAAAAGAAGTGCAGAGTATGTACAGCGATACAGTAGAGAGAAAACGGTAGGGGAGGCATATGGGGATTTTATCTTGATTTTGGGGAAAATTGTTCAGTTTCCGACATACGGATAAATCGGGTTGCGGATATTTCTCGGGAACCCTAACCCTTTCGTAACCCAGGGGACTGCCTGTACATATGTTGAACTTCTTTCGAACCGTTGGTAACCATACTCTTTGGTTCTTTCGGTAAAGTCACGAAGGTAGAAATAAAATAAATCGCGACGTTTTGATGGCAACACAAACGACCGTCTTCAGGCGAGAGAGGTCGATGGTCATCAGACAAACGCAACACAAGCGACCCTCTTCAGGCGGAACCAATACAGCAGGACAACTTCCGATTTAGGATAAAGATCTGCTAACAACAAGAGCTTATGAAGGGTTTTGGTGGGCTCAACCCCAGGGCTAAGTGGGCGGAGCTGGAGCAGGAAGAAAGGGGGGAGGGAGGGGGGGGAGTTGGGCACAGGTAATAGATAGAAGGTAGAAAGAAGCTGGGTTAGTGATGCTAATGTCAGAAAATTAGCATGTCAGTGGTACAGGTTGGTAACCGACTGTGCTGATCGGAGGTGGCGAGGGAAGGACAACTAAACGCAACAACAAGCAGTCCTAAATAAATTAGTTATAAATGTAGTCTAGTCGTGTAGTATATATCAGTGTAGTACATAGTATAGTGCCTAGTATATTAGTGTGTAGTAGTGTATAGTGTAGTATATAATGTACTGTGTAGTTGTGTAGTGTCGAGTAATTTGCAATGTATGTTGGACTTCTTTTGCACCGTGCGTAGCCAACCGTGCTAATTGGAGGTGTGGGGAAAGGATAACAAACTAAACACAACAAGCAGTTATAGAGAAATGAGTTTGTCAATCTGGATGATTTAAAAGTGCATAGCTCCCAGCAGGTTCCTAATATTGGCAGGAAGAGCCTTCCTGACGGACATGTCATGAACAGCACTGGGGAGACCAAGGCGACCTGACGTGTGGTGCTGGCCACCCACCCCCTCGTGTGCCGTGCCGGCCTTCATAGGTGCTCGTTAGCAGCACTTGCCCCAACAATCTGTTACAGGCTACACGGGGGATCTTTGTCTTTTTGCGTGCGAGTGTGATGTGTATGAATGTGCATGTTTGTGTGTGTGAGGATTCCACTGCTGTGCCTTATCTCTTGGCCTGCTCCGTCCCACCTCACACGATGCAATCCTCTTCCAGGTTCTCAGCAGTGAGCAGTGCACCACCGCGTATGTCAAGAGAACATTGGCCGCAAGTGGACGTACCTGAACTACAACAGACTCTCGATTTACGTGTTAATGACGGGGAGGACAGCCAAGATCACAGATAATCCAAAATATGCATTTTCCGCGGATCTCCATGCAAAAAACGAAATTATCAACTGATCGATGCACGTGCTAAGTGATAACTTTCCTGCTCCCGCCCAGCGGAAGACTCGGCCCACTAAGTGGATGACAGCAGAGCCACACCAATCAACATCAATCAAACTCCACCCTCTGTTGTAAAGATATTGCAATGACTGTACTGTAGAGGAGACCACGTGGATTTCGAATTAACTGAAGCAACTATATTTGTTGGGTTTAAGCATGCGACTTGTAAAACATTTCCAGGAATAACAATGTATTTCTTAGATGAATAATTTGGGCTTAAGGGAAAATCTGCGAGTTATTAATTTGTCAATCTCAGGTGCGCGGTTAATCCGCAAATCGGATAAACTGCGTGCAGATAATCGAGAGAGTACTCGAGCTCCTGAAACCCGTTCGTAAGTCAAACTGTTTGTAAGTCGGAACACAATCATGATGCACTATTTCAATGCCCCCATACGAGCAATGTTATGAAATGTGTTCCAGTTCATAAGGGAAGCATTGGTAAAAACGTAAGAGATACTGTACATTTGCATGTAATATTGAAGAAAAACACTAGTAAATAAAATAACATCGAATTTTTTTCATTTGCCTTGAGTCCTGATGCTGGCTTGCTTGTCAGTCGCCACAATTGCACACAAACGGATACACACGCAGGCACATGAGGGCACGTGTGCACACACCAACGGCAACGTTACCCCGTATAGCCTTGACAGGCTGTTGGGAGCAAGTGTTGTGAGCGAGCACCTACAAAGGACGGCACGGCACACGGGGTGGGTAGCCAGCACCACGCCCGGCCGCCTTTGTCTTCCTAGTGGCGATGTTTACACTGCACCAGGTACTCATTTGAGGCTGAGTCGACCTAGTGGAGGCCCAGGACCGATTTAGATAGCTGTCACTGGTCTTGGCCGTGAGCTGTAATCGAACTCGGGTTGCCGGGTTCGTAGCGCAGTGTGCTAACTGTTGCACTACCCCTCCCCACTGGCATCCATGAGCCTAATGTGAACGTCAACGCGTTCCCGCGACAACATGCCGGTCACGTTAAGATGCCCGCGTTCCAGTTCAACCCTTTGAGACATGGCCCTGAACCTCCCATCCCTCCCCATCCCATCCCTCCCCTCCCACTGGGGTGAGCTGAAACGGCGGCATTTGATCGGAGGTTGAAAAGAAACTCACTGCAGGTTGCACTTCGTCACCGTGTCACTGCCCGTTTTCCAGCGCCGTGAAGGTGGAGCTTTGCACAAAAAGGTTGCCAATGGTGGCCAGGGAGATGTAAACTTTCCCACTGGGCATACAGGAAGTCGTGGATTCGATCCAGACCCTGATGCCTGTTGTATAGTATCACGGTGGATCAGGAAATGTTAACCGGCAAAAATAATTGGCTGCCACTAGCCAAAGTAACTGGCCAATACCAGTTACATTTATAAGAACGGTTTTGTAATGAAGATGGTTGTAATTACCAGCAAAACGTCACTACTCACATTCTTTGGGTCTTTCGTTAAAGTCACGTAGATAGGTTCAAATTAATATAAAATAAAAAGCGGTCGTCAGGCAGAGAGAAAAGGGGGGTAAGCCTCTAAATGCAACTGTTTATAAAGGTTTAAAAGTAGGCGTAGCCTAAGTGTCAGAACAAGAGTAGGTCAGCAGTGGATAGAGCATCCTATAGAGAAGGAGTCTCGGCCATGATAGAGCAAAAGCTATAGAGATGGAGCTTAGGCCAGCAGTGGATAGCGCATGCAATAGGCATGGTGTACTAGAGGTAGTCTAGGCCAGCAGTGGATAGAGCGGGGCTCCTCACCTGAGCTCTCTCCCCAGCGGTTGCAGGCGGAATGAGTGGAGAAGGTTGTGTGAGGGGTTAAAAACTGAGCATCGGAGAGTGTTAAAAATGGAAACATTACAGCAGTTATGATTTAAACTGGTTGATAACGTCCTTCCAGTTATTGCTGAGTTTGTACCTGTAATCTCAGTTGAAATTATGTCTATGTTTGTATATATGGGTGGCTTGATGAACGAATCTTTGTTGATAGCCAGTGAGCTTGCAAAGTACCTTCGTCTGAGAGAAATCATTTCGTGTGAGCCAACCGCATTAAAACAATGATCAGCCATGGACAAAGTGTTCGTTCTGCCGTGTTTCAGACCTGCCTTATGTTCACAAACACGGTCTGAGACACAAGGCCGCAGCCATGGAGTCAACATTGGGGGGGACCAAATTTTCCAGGGTGTCTGGGGGTCCCAACCCAGAAAAAAAATCAAAATTTGAAAACTAATTTCCTGCCTAATATATTTGAAAAATCACTAACACATGGGATGGACTTTTTATTTATTTATTTACAATAATGTCCTATAGTGTATTGTATTACATTGCTCTGTTTTTACTTTTTTACCATTTCTTTTTGCATTGTATGTTATGGCAGAGATTAGGGATTCATAAAGTACAACCGTAACCACATTCAAATAAACAGAAATCTATGCATTGATTTATATGAAGACAAGTCCAGATATTGTGGCCAAGGTTTAGCAAATTGTTGTTTTTATTTACATAGCATAGCAATCTTTTTTGATAGCAATATATTGGGAGGGGGGGCATTTTGAGCATATTTGAATATTGGGGAGATGTGCCCCCCCCCCCCCCAATATATATTTTAATTGCGGCCTTGCCGAGACATGTCGCTTAGTTTGCCCAATGTAACTGCTGCTGCAGACAGCTTAGTTTGTAGACACCGGGGTATTGCATGTCAGGGATCACATTCTTCACAGATGGGATCAGATCACGAATTGTATGTACTGTGTTGAATCGAATCTGGATCTCGTGTTTGCTCATGATTTTGGAAATCTTTTTGGTGACCCCTGCTATGTATGTCAAGGTGATGGTTTTGATTGAGTTTAATTCATAACTTCGTTATATTTTCAACCTCAGGATATCAAAATATAACTCGAGAATAAGAAGCACGGATATCTGGCGACACCGACGGGGAACAAAGGTTAATAAAACCCTCGGAATACCTGTGGTAACAACTATGGTATATCACAAATCTTGGTTCGCCATAAACCAAATAATAATTATGAAGTATTAGACCTAGGGCCATTCAGAAGAGATACAAGGCGAAATAGGTCAATCACACACAACCAAAATAATATGTATTCCATAGTATCAGCCTCACCAACCGATCTTTGTCTTCCAGCAGCGACACAACACATGGTAGCAATAAATTACATATGAAGGGAGGGCGCCTCCCCTTGAGATAGCAAACACCATTAAAAAAATCTCAAACCACGACGGAAGGGGACAGGAACCAGGCCTTAATGTGACTTAACAGATTACTTCAATAAATTAGAACAGACACACACACACGCACACCCGGACAAACAGCTGCCCCTTTGTGAGGAGGCGAGCCGAGATGGAAGATTTTCGAATATAACGACGAGCAGAAACCACGCACATCAGTCTTGCTGTGGCAAGCTCCGGGAGTGGGTCCCTCAATCGACCATGGATGACGAGGCTTGCAGAGGAGCGATGTGTCGCCGAGTGTAAGTTCGGGGCTGACAGACGAAGTATCGCTAAAGGTTTAATTCTACATTGAGTGCCAGCTCCCACCAGCAGCTGCAGCAAGAGAGAAAGAGAGAGAAATAATGACGAGCAATGACAAGCAATTTACCGGAGAAAGGGCGGAAAGTGCCAAGTATCGACCAAGCGAGCATCGGCACAGGACCAGCAGCAGCAGCGGCTAACGACTAACCACGAGCGTGAAGCCGAGCACACTCCTGCAAAAATCGAGCCGACAAGGATCAACCGTGCCTGGTGCAAGGGAGAGAGCATGACCGGCGCAACCGAGAAAGAGTGGCGGCGCTGGCGACCAGCAGACGAGCTGCGAGCGCTATCCGGCACCGCCGAAGGCGAGCATCGTGGCGACTAATTCGCATAAATGCATAATCTGCATAATTACAATAATCAGCATATTTTCGGAAAACTACACATTTCTAAATTTGCATTTAATTGTATTATTGTTCTTTTTATTTTTCTAGACCTAATATATACAACAAACTCCACATCGACCAGCCCCCCTCATTAATATTCATCAGCAGGTGACGTCCTCCAAATGGACACCTCCCCCCCTCCATTCATAATAATTAGCAGCTGACGTCACTCCACATGGGGGGGCCGAGGCGCCTCCTCCCCCCTCCTCGGCGTCAACTTACAACCCTCACTACAAAGGCAGAACTCTCAAGTCACGCGATCACCGTAATGCTGAGATATCAAAGTAAAAAGGACGTCATTATGAACAAGGGATTATAACCTTAAAATGAAATAGGTCTCTGTCACCGTGCAAACGCATTAATGCGATGAATATCACGTCGCGGTCTACTTTTTTCTTGCAAGTTTAAGATTTACTGCAATACACCCGTCCTTGGACAAGGAAAAGGCTAGTTGCAAACGTTTCACGTTGTCCACATTTGAGCGAGAGGTTGTGCCTGGGCATGGCTAAAGCACGTCTTATTTTAGCTCCACCCACCCCCCACACAAACGCACACACACAGCCAGTACCACGTGCACACACACACAGCCAGCACCACACACACAGGCAGCACCACACACACGCATATACAGTCTGCACCACACACGCACAGCCAGGTGACTTCATTAAACAAAAGGAAGTAGCAGCAATGGGCTCTCCTTTGCCTCCTGCTATAGCAAATCTGTACATGGAAACTTTGAAACAAGATCACTTTCCTCAAGTACATTAAAACCATATTTTTGGTTTAGATATGTTGATGACACTTTGGTTGTCTGGCCATATGGTAAAGATACACTTAATGCATTTTTTAATCATCTCAATGCGCAAAACCAAGCCATTCAGTTCACCATGGAAATGGAGGTGAACAACACACTCCCCTTCCTGGACAATTTGCTTGGACGCGATCAAAATGGCAAAATAACACACAACGTCTACCGGAAGGGAACGCACATGGATGCCTATCGGAATGCAGATTTGCATCATCCCAGCACAGAAATCCTCTCTCATCAAGACGCTCATATATCCGGCAAAGACAGTGTCAGATGGGGAAAGTTTAAGGAAAGAGATTAAACATGTTAAAGAAGCACTAAGACTGAATGGCTACAATAATGCTAAAATTAACAGAGCATTGAATGCCAAATCAAGATCGAACAACAATACTGCTGAAAGTGATCTGATTATCAAAACGATTAAAATACCATATATCTCGGAAGTTACTGACAAATTAGCCCGTGTTTTGCAAAAGCAAAAATTAAAGTGTGATTTGGTATGGTACACAAAATTCAAAAACTAGTGTCTTGTACTAAAGATAAATTACGGAAGTTATCAACAGAAGGTGTATATTGGATCAATTGCTCACGCGGTAAGTGTAATATTTGACAGATGGGACTAAAATAACACCAAAAGAACATTAAATTCTCCCAAATACAGCTGTCAGCCGTGGCAGAGCATGCTTGCCAACAAGGACATTAAATTGATTTTGATAACGTTGAAGTGTTATGCAGAACAAATTATTACTGGGCAAGATTAGTTAGAGAATCAATTGAAATTGAGAACAATCCAAATAATT